AAAAAAAAGATAAGAGATATATAAAAAGATAAAACAATTTAGGAATATATAATGCAATTCTATGCAGTAATCACCTGACTTACAACATATGTTATGTTTTTTAAAAGATTCCAGAAGAAATGGAAGAATTTACCATTATTTTACTTAATGCCACTGGAGGAGCTAAAATAGGAAATAAAACTACTGCAACTCTGAGGATTACAGGAAATGATGACCCCATTTACTTTGCAGGTGATATTTCTCTTTTAATTGAGTGAGTGTACATTTTTCTTAAGTAGTGTATATGTATTTTTTCCCCAATAACTTTTAAACATTTTTGGTAAAAACTATTGATGCTTATTTAAATATTGATTTTATGATTTGTTTGGGATATTATTATTCACAATGATGTTTCAATGAGTATTTCTAAAGATCTGAAAGAAAAATAGAACAAGTATTGTTTTGTCAGCTTTATTTTCCACCTCCTCCCCTTTCAAATTTTAAAGTATTTTCTTTCCTTTATGCAGAAAAGAACATTCTCCCTTGTGACCTCTTCAATACACAATGTATCCAGTACAGGGTGTTGTACTAAATGGTTAATCACTAACAACCACAACTAATATTTAATCGGTCATGCAAATTAGGCTCTCCTCATTTTTATCACTTTAATTTTTTTTTTTAGAACTGTCTTTTGCCACCTGAGAGATCTTTTAATTTTGTTTATGAGATCCAATTGGTATTTAAGTGTTTCTTAAACCCATTTGCAAGCTATTCAGTTTTGCTTTTAAACATCATGAATTTTATTATTTGTATTTTTTTACTTTCAGCTAATGGGTAAATAATAAATTAGTCCTATGTGTTTGGCCTTATGCTCATCGCCAAAAAAAAAAAAAAAAAGTGTAAGCCTGCAGTATGAGACAAAAGAGGAAGCTAGACACTGTGTCATTTTTTGATAAATTTAGTGGAAGACTATGGATTCTGTAGGAATTAAGTCAGGAAGAAGGTCACTGACCTTAGAGGAGAACTCTCAGGAGTCTTGGGACCAGAGCTGACTCCTTTTAAGCAAATGGAGCATTTCTCAAGCAGGGAGAAATGCAAAATGATCTGAAAATAAGTTGATGGCAGTTCCTTCTCTTCTTTTTAAATATTTCAGTGCCTCGTGTAGTAAGGGTTCAGGAGGGTGAGATCGCTAGCTTCACAGTTCTCAGAAACGGATCTGTTGATGTTGCCTGTGCTGTCCTGTACGCCACCATGGACGGGACTGCTACGGCCCAAGAAGGAGACTTCGTTCCTGTTGAAAAGGGAGAAATGCTTGTTTTTGCAGTTGGAAGTAGAGAGAAGAACATATCCATATTTGTTAATGAAGATGATATCCCAGAAACAGACGAGGTTTTTTATATAATCCTCTTTAATTCAACAGGTAAATAAATTACATTTTTGTTCCAGATTTTTTTCAGTGCTTTAAGACAGCATTAAATTCTATTGTTCACTAGCACTTAATTGTCCTCTGTGACTGTTCAAGAGCCAACCTGTTTGCTGTTTGTCTTCTTGAGAGATGGGGTTAAGCATGTATGTGTTGAACTTTTCTGTATACGGTATACTTCATGGCATTATTTTAAGTCTTTTTTCACAATAAGGCACAAATAAAAAAACTGATCTAGCTAATGCTACTCTGAGCCTTGTCCAGTCACCTGACTTTAATGGCATCGGTAGCCCATATTCTTTGTCCTTCTAGCATGATGCTGGGCCTACTGGTGGGGAAGTTGCATGTTGTAGGTGGCTGGGTCTAACTGACAGAAAATTCCCTGGAGCTGTATCCACATCAAAGATAATGTGTCAGGCAGAAAGATAGACGCCTCCTTCTTCTCTGTACTATCTATGAGGCAGGATGTTTTGATCCCACCATTAGTAAACTGGATCGACTATAACTTCTCTGGAATATGTTGTTTTCTTATGAGTAGAAAGGGTTTTTTTCTTGAACCTCTGTGAATCAGTTGAGTAATGGTATCTACCACCCTGAATACATTAATGCATTTGTAAGAGCTCTTAGATCTCTGAAGGTGCCAGGCCCTTAGGTGAGTGGCATTAGGAAACTAACAAGAATCCACATTTTTCCATCTGTTTCAATAGTGTTTCCTTTCTAGAAAAATAATCCTTTCCAATATCATACATTGCATTGAGCATCATATTCTTTAATCTTTTGATCTAGAGTAGTCTTTTCTTAACTTCCACAATGTTGATAATAAGAAATAAAGGCTAGTTATTTTGTAGACTATCCTTCATATTATGTTTGTCTTATGTTTCCTCGTTGTTAGATTTGGGGATTGTATCCTTAGAGGAATAAAATGAAGTGATTTTACTTTTAGCATATCCTTTCAGTACATACATGATTTTGTTTTACAGTGTTCACTTGGACCATAATTTTGTTGATAACTGTCAGGCTTCTGTACTATGCTGGTTTTCTTTTGTGATTAATGTTTTGTGGGAGGGATACTTTAAAGTCATGTAAACATCATGTTATTCATCAAATTTCCAATTTTTTCATTGACTTATTTATCAAATTGGACTCATGATTTCTACTTAATGAATTTCACTATCATTATTTGTTTTGATGGTTAAACTGTCCCAAATTTAGCCAGTGATAGCCTCTTTTAGATGACTTCTTTATATATTTATATGTTCTTATTTATTCCTTATGTATTTTCTTACTTCCTGGCATAGGAAGCTGTTCCAAACTCATTTTGTACTTCTTTCAAAACCCTGAAACCAGCCATTTCAGCAAGGAACACATCTTTTTAGTGAAGAATGTTGTTTAAAAACCAGTATCTGGGAACTACTGATCCTATTTTATTATATTCCTCCTAGGCTCTCTGAGTCTACACTGGCGGAATAGATGTATGTATGTCTATATACATACACATTTTAAAATCTGTAGTTCCAAATCCAATAGTATATAATAAGAACCATTAGCTCACAGCAGTATCTCTGTTTCTATCTGTTGATGAAGAAATGACATTTTCTTAATAGTCTTTATTTTAGATATAAGGTCTTGATGACATATATTTATGGGTGAACATTATTTTTTCCAAACCATCTTTGAGGTAAAATGTCACTGGAGTTAAACATTGTCAAGCTAAAATATCACTATGATTAAAATACACATCAAAGCATTTTAAACTCTTCTGAAGAGAATGACATGCGATTCTGCAAGAAGTTCAGGAGTTTACTTTGTAAAATGTTTCACAGGGGAAATATATATTTGATTTCCCCAAAGATACATTTTGAGAGAAATGAGAGAGGGATGGAGGAGGAGAAGAGAAATATTGAGAGGAAGTCAGGTGTGACAGCGACTCACTTGAGGAATATATATGTACTTACTGCAGCTGCATTTGTCTTTCATATTTTTCTAGAATTAGTAGCATCTGAGGACCTAATATCTTTAGCTCTGCAAATTTGGATCACAAAAATCTGTAGAGTTTGGGCTTCTTCCACCCTTTCTCAGTTCTTCCTCTCCTTTTCATGATATCAAATCTTTGAGGACCTAAGGGATTTGTGATGGTAAAGTTGGAGATACTGTATCTCGAACAAAACCCAGTGCTGGTGGGCTTGATAGATACTGTTCACCATTTATGGTCCTGTTAGTACTTTCTGTGGAGAAATATAATTTTTAGCACAACCTGTGATCTGTTACTTGACAAATGTACCTGATAGAAGTTCCTGCCAAAATTAGGTTTTGCTATTTTATTTGTTTTTGTTAGATTTGGTATATTTTTTAAAAAAGTTTTATTTATTTATATATGTAAGAGCTGGGGTGCAGGCCAGAAGTGCAGGAGTGGGGTGGAGTAAGAGGATTCACCAGAGACAGAGTGGGGAGCAGAACAGCCAGATATTTTGAAATACACTGCTGAAGGGAGCGGGACAGGAGAGGTCTGCTGCGACATGTGGTTCAGCTCCCTGGCTGGGGATCAAACTCACTTCATAGTGCTGTACTTTAACTTGTGCTCCAGGGAGGGCCCAGATTTGGTATATATATGTATACACACACATACACACACACACACACAAATGTATATATGTATACACATATATATTTAATAATATAACAGTTTATTTTTACATCATTTTGTGCCTTTTTCCATCTCAGTTGTAATCCCCGTGGGCTTTCCATCACCACAGATTTGGTATATTTTAAGTTATTGCTCTTAAACATTTTCTTTACAATTTGACTTGCTGTCTATATTTTAATTTTTCTTTCTCTTTCCATCGACTGAATATCAAATGAGTCTGACTGTAGTTCTGTATATTTTTTAAAGATTTATTTATTTATGCATACAGAAATGGGGTACAGTCAGAGGTGCAGGGGTGATGAGAAGACACATCATAGTCAGAGTGGGGAGCAGAACAGGCAGATCGACAAACCACACTGCTGAGGGGAGCAATGGGCAAGACAGTAGAGGTCTGCTGAGCCACATGGATCACCTCTGGGGCAGGGATTGAGCTCACACCGAAGCAGCCATGGCTTGGCTTAGCTTTGCAGTACAGCACTCCAACCTGCTGTGCCACCAATGGGGACCCAGTTCTGTATTTTTATACATTACATTCAGTGCATGTTTTGTTGCATGTGATTTTTTTTTTCTGTAAGTTCATATTTGGGTATTGTTCTCAGCTACTTTGAAAGCTTTATTGCATCAGTTTCATTTGCCATTTCATAAATAACTTCTGAGTACCAGCTCCTAAGTTCAAGTCCTCTGTGAGGATATGGAGTTAAGTGTTTCTCAGATGAGCTTATAGTGAAGTTGTAATTGTGTGCGTGTGTGTTAATATAATGCAGTAATTTTTGGGAGAGACAAATGCAAAGTCATATAGGAGTACAGTGGAGATGTACTTAACTTAATTTGAGAATTCAGAGAATTCCTGGCAACATTGTTGCTTGAGGTGGGTACTCAGAAATGAGTCAGGTGAAACAGGTAAAGACTTTTTTACCTAGGTAATAACTGGAGCAAAGAGAAAGAGCTTTAGATCTTAGTGAAGTGGTGAGAAGAAAACTAATGTATAAGTAGTAATGATACTGACATGTGTATAACAAATTGGAGTTTAGGGGGAGTAAGTTCAACCTTAAAGACTGTTTCATTCTGGGAATGACCAGCTCAGACTCTGAGATTGAAAGGGGAAAGCTCAAGCTACTGAGTCTATTAATATGGACAGAAGTATTTTTATGGTTTAGAGTAATTAATTACTTTTCATGAGGGTCTTCCTGGTGGCCTGTGGGTTAATTCTCAGCGCTATCAATGCTACAGCCTGAGTTCGATCCCCATCTAGGGAGCTGGCCCACATGGTGCAGCAGACTTCTATCTTGCCCCCTGCTCCCATTAGCAGTGTATTTCGGTAAATCCATCTGATCAGCTCCCCACTCTCTCTAGTGAACCCTCTCATACCCTGCTTAAAAAGTTTAAATTAGATAAAGCTTGATTTTGAATCTAAATTACTGAAGTGATATTTCTATTATGAAGAAAGTGTCTTGTATGTTTTTCAATAACATAAGACACTTCCAAAAGACAAGTCTTATTTAGACTTCTGATTTAGACATCTCTCTCTCCGTTACTTATGCCCTTTAATGAGGAAATTCTTGCTGAAATTTGATCTTAAGTATAAACTGTTTCTTAATTTACAGATAAAGTTAATGGGTTAATTACCTTTTGTTGTTTTGACATTTCTGTTTTTAATTTAGGTGACACTGTAGTATATCAACATGGAACAGCTACAGTGATAATTGAAGCTAATGATGATCCAAATGGTATTTTTTCTTTGGAGCCCATAGACAAAGCAGTACAAGAAGGAGAAACTAATGCATTTTGGTAAGATCCTCTGGATAAGGCAAATTCAAATTGTATAGAATAACATCAAATCTTCATGCAAAAAAACGAAAGTGTCAGTCTTTCGAAAGAAATTTAAGAATTTAATAAATTCAAAGTTGACTGTATGAATGCTGTTTACCATTTAAAAAAAAAAAACAACTTGAAACTATAACTGGTAAGCACAAATTATCCTCTCAACCTTTCTTACCCACTACTTTGTTAGGACTTTGTCAAGGCTGAGTAACTTGTAATATCTAAAACATAAAAATACCTCAAATGTAATACCTCAAATGATATATTACTATGCTCATCCTATACTTTTCTTTTGAATAACGTTACCAATTCTCATCTAAATGTTTTTCAGTTGGGCTTAGAATTTTTCTATCAGTTTGGACTTTGAATACTGTCATCTTAAGAACATTCTCTTTGTTTCTTAAAGTTCTAATCAGTCTCCCCTTTCCATGAGATTCTTCATGACTGCTCAGTAAGGACTGACTGGTTTAGAATAAAGATGATAAGTAGAAAAAAATACTTTTGAGATAATACAAAAACTCATTAAATGTAGTTAGATTCACTACTTATAAAGTTTGCATAATGATGAATTTCTTAAAAATTTGTTATATAGGATTTTGAGGCACCGAGGACCTTTTGGCAATGTTTCTGTGGCTTGGCAACTGTTTCAGAACGACTCTGCTTTGTATCCTGGACAAGAGTTCTATGAAACTTCAGGGATGGTTAACTTTATGGATGGAGAAAAAGCCAAACCAATAATTCTCCATGCTTTTCCAGATAAAATTCCTGAATTCAATGAATTTTATATTCTAAGGCTTATAAACATTTCAGGTGTGGTGTTTTACCATCTTTTATTTTATCACCAAAAGATAATATTCTATACTTAAATAGTTAGGCTGTATAGAAAAATGAAATTGATGAAGATGTAAGTTTATTTTTATTCTGATTTTAAATATACAAATACCTTTTTGATGGAAATGCTATTTTTAATATTCATTGTGGTCTTAACTTGGTAAGGTTTTATGTATAGAGACATATCCATCTTCAAATTTAAAGGTTTTTATCACATCGAGTATAATAAGGTCTGCACAAAAATATTTATGGAAGTCTGGAAGTAGGGATTGATGGTGGTTTAAAAGTTGGTCTTTTGCCATAATTTAAGCAACTTCTCCATCACTTTTGATTATTTTATTTATTTATGCATACAAGAACTAAGGTAGAGGCCAGGGGTGTTGGGCGGAGGGGGGAATTTAGAGGATTTACCAGAGATAGAATGCAGAGCAGAATAGGTGGATCTTCTGAAATACATTGCTGAGGGGAGCGTCAGGCGAGACAGGAGAGGTATGATGAAACCATGTGGGTCACCTCCCTGGCTGGGGGTTGGACTTGTGCTGTAGATGATTTGCTAGTGTGCTGAGACTTAACCCTTTGCACCATTAGGGTAGCTCTTCTCCATCACTTTTGATTTTAACTCAGGAATTAAACTTCACTGGGGGTTTGATGAAGCAAGAACTTCTGTAAATGTGTTGAAGTCATAAGGTGAAACTGTTCTTCACTCATCAATGAGTAAATTATCTAACCAGAAGTTTGCTAAACAAATCCTTTTGCTTTCATCTTCTATTAAAAGTCCTTCAAATTTTGAATTCCTATTTCTGATAATTACAGGGGGCTCTCCAGGCCCTGGAGGACAACTAGCAGAAGTCAACCTCCAGGTGACAGTAATGATTCCATTTAATGATGACCCTTTTGGGGTTTTTATATTGGATCCAGAGTGTTTAGAGCGAGAAGTGGCAGAAGATGTGCTCTCGGAAGATGATATGTCTTATATTACCAACTTTACAGTTTGGAGGCAACAGGGTGTCTTTGGTGATGTACGAGTAGGCTGGGAAATAGTGTCCGGGGAGTTCCCTGCAGGTTTGCCTTCAATGGTAGATTTCTTGATGGTTGGAATTTTCCCCAGCTCTGTGCAACGACACCCGCACATGCGACGTCACCATAGTGGAACAGATGCTCTGTACTTCAGTGGACAGGATGGTGCCTTTGGAACTGTTAATCCAAAATACTATCCTTCCAAGAACAACTCAGTCGCCACCTTTACATTTTCAGCATGGCTGATGCCCGATGCCAATACGAATGGATTTGTTATAGCAAAGGATGATGGTAATGGTAGCCTCTACTATGGGGTTAAAATTCAAACAAATGAATCGTATATGACTCTTTCCCTTCATTACAAAACATTGGGTTCCAATGCTACATACATTGCCAAGACTACATTCATGAAATATTTAGAAGAAAATGTTTGGCTCCATCTTCTAATTATCCTGGATGATGGTATAATTGAATTCTACCTTGATGGCAATACAATGCCCAGAGGAATCAAGAGTCTGAAAGGAGAAGCCATTACTGATGGTGAGTATCATCTTTTAACTAGGACACTGAATTTCAGATCAGTATTTATTATTTAGAAATGCTAAGAGGTATGACTAATACTGCTTGCATATTGGCTTAATTTCTATAAGAAAAAGTCTGTGCCTGGCAAAATCATAAGGTTGTACTGAATGGTGCAGAAATGAGTTAGGCAAAATATTTGCCCTTGGGAAATCCTGAAGTAGGCTCTGGGAGAGAGATGTACAAACTGATTACTTCAGTACATTGTAGGAAGAAAGAAAAAAATATTAGGAAGGAGCAACGTCTGTTCCAAGCTTTTGCTTGGTATTGCCTATGAGGTCCGTCCATAGTTTGATCTACTGAGATATTTCATCTACAATCACAGAAAAGGCTGGTGATGATGATGTTAGTGGCAGGATGCCTGTTTCTGTCTTAAGACTACCTGGGTGATGACTTGTAAAACTGTCTTGATTGATGATATTGATAAGAAACATTACTTGTACTTTTATTTTCCCAGATTTCATCTCATTGAAATATTATTTGAGTTACTGCAGAAGGAATAAACAAAAATCAAAATTAGTGAATTCCAAAAAACTTTTTTTTAAAGATTTATTTATTTATTCATACAGAACTGGGGTACAGGCCAGAGTTGCAGAGGGTGAGAGGATTCACCAGGAACAGAGGGGGGAGCAGAACAGGCAGATCGACAAAATACACTGCTGAGGGGAGCAGTGGGCGGGTCAGGAGAGGTCTGCCTCGCCATGTGGATCTCCGGGGCAGGCGGGGATCGAACTCATGTGGAATTGGCTTACGCTTCTTAGTGCAGTGCTTTAACCTGCTGCGCCACCAGGGAGGGCCCCCAAAAAACTTTTGATTGAAATAGTGATATATTGTTGCTATTATGAAAAAGTAAGGGAGGTAAAGGAGATGGGAAGTTCCAGTCCTCAATTATTACTGGTTTCCTTGGTAAACAGTCCCTATCCTTAGATGCTTTCAGAAGTTACATTCATTAACATAGCAAATGATTCCTTTATTACTTACAACACTTAGAGAATTTCAGGGGCTTTGGGGAAGCTTTGAGTCAGAAAATGTGAATGAGGACCAAATATGTATGAAAATATATTTATGAGAAACACATTTCTTATAGTTCACAATACCGTACTGATTTCTTTGAACAGATTTATTTCACTTTCTGAATCACACTTGTAATTTAGGACAGGATAGCTGTGGATACTGTTACATTTAGACAACCATCTCTAATTTCAGGTCCTGGAATTCTGAGAATTGGTGCAGGAATGAATGGCAGCGAGAGATTTACAGGACTCATGCAGGATGTGAGATCTTATGAGCGGAAGCTGACTCCAGAAGAGATTTATGAACTTCATGCCATGCCAGCAAAGAGTGATTTACACCCGGTTTCTGGATATTTGGAGTTCCGACAGGGAGAAACAAACAAGTCATTTATTATATCTGCAAGAGATGACAATGAAGAGGAAGGAGAAGAATTATTCATCCTTAAGCTAGTCTCTGCATTTGGAGAAGCTCGCATTTCTGAAGAAAATACTACAGCAAGGTTAATAATACAGAAGAGTGATAATGCCAATGGTTTATTTGGCTTCACAGGAGCTTGTATACCAGAGGTAAGTAGTGAACTTGGAGAATTGGGGAGTTAAAAATTCATAGTTGAGGGGCCTCCTTGGTGGTACAGGGGTTAAAATCTTAGTGCTATCAAGTTATCACTGTTAACTATAGCATGCATGAGTTTGATCCCTGGCCAAGAAGCTTCCCACATAATGCAGCAGACCTCTCCTGTCTCTTCCATGGCAGTGTCTTTCAGTAGACAACTGTTCTGCTCCCTACTCTGTCTCTGGAGAATTCTCTCGCCACCCCCTCCCACTCCCCACCCCCACACCGCTGGCCTACACTCCAACTCTTGTATTTTTAATAAATCTTTAAAAAGTAAAATTCATGGTTGATAGATTTACTTAAGAGTAGGCTTTTTCTCATTTGGGAAGATTGCTTGAGATTCTACTTTAGGCCCAGAAGTATGCTAGAGCCAGTATTGAATATGTAGATCACAGGGTTTTTACTCTACCAATTTTTAGTTTGAATCTGAAGTTTAATGAGCTGGTGGAAGTAATAACAAGTTCGTCAATAAAATATTAGCAATTATCTTTAAAGTTAATGTACTTCACAGAATGTATAATTATTTGCACATTTAATTTACTACTGTATAGATATCATATAAATGAATGATAAATATATTGAAAGCTTCCATGAGTAATCGTAATCGAAAGTTTATTGAAATCTGATTTTTGAGTTTTATTCCACATGTGGAACATATTTAAATAGTGACAACATTCTTCTATGGTGGGTGTAAATGCCTTTCTTATCAACCTTCTGAGCCAGCTTAATTCATCAGGCTCTTTTACTGCTCTTATCAGTACTTTCCAACTTTTCAAAGATTCGTAATCATCTTGATTTACTGTTCAGTAATGTGAGATCTCACTACTTCGCAGGTGTTGTATTTGACAGCAGCAGCTTGATATCCATGAAAAGGTGCCAAGAGAGTCTTTTCCTTTGCAAGTTGATTCTAATAGGTTTGGAAGGAAATTGAAATGATTAAGAAATGTGTGACTGGGTAAAGCTTGAAAAAAAAGTCCTGGTCTTAGGCTTTACCATAGCTTACAGTGGTGCCCCTGGCTCTCTAGAGTACCTTTCTGCCCCCTTAGCTGTTTGGCTTGGTGACAGCCTTTGAAATCTTCAAAAGTGGTCTTTTCTAGATGAGAAATGGAGTATCTCAGACTTGGGAGGGCAAATGTCAGACAGATCTGTAAGTCAGAAAAGAAATATCTTTGTCTATATTGATAACACCTTTAAAAAGACAGCCACCAAGAAATTTACATTTTTTAACAAAAGATTTATATATTTATTCATACAGAACTGGGGTACAGGCCAGAGATGCGGAGGGTGAGAGGATTCACCAGAGACAGAGTGGGGAGCAGAACAGGCAGACGACAAAGTACACTGCTGAGGGGAGCAGCGGGTGGTCCGGAGAGGTCTGTCGCACCATGTGGGTCACCTCTGGGGCAGGTGGGAATCGAACTCATGTGAAAGTGGCTTAAGCTACTTAGTGCTGTGCTTTAACCCTCTGCACCACCAGGGAGGCCCTGAAATTTACATATGTTTTAAGCACCTTTCTGATAATTCATAATACAGCTGCACCAAATATTAATTTCTCTAATTTATAGGGTCAGAAAGGTGGTGAAAATTGAATAAAATGAGATCAAATGTTTGGTTCAAAGTTTGGCAGTTATTAGTGCTTAACAAATGTTAGTTTTACTTGTCCCTAAAGTATATTAAGAAGAATTATAATTTGAACCTGTTTTTCCTCTCTGTAACTGTACTGTCATCATCTCTGTTTTTAAAAGGACAGATTACCTCCTTCAGTTTGCTAAATAACGTACATCCAATTAATTTTATATACTTGAATGATACTCTGTACTATCAAATTATATAGATATCGCATATTTAAAGGAATCTAGTAAAATAACAAACAGACACTCAGAAATAAATGCAGTCCTAGTTAAAATAATATTCCCATTTTTATAAATCTCTACCCAAAACATCTCTAAATTTATTCTTAATCTGAGTTTATAAGTATAAAACATAATCCAAGTATTAGTTATAAAAGTAAAATAATGGGACTAGCAAGTTCCATGAATCGCTATTTATTTTATTGGAAAAATACATGTATCAGGAAGAAGGAAGAGACTTTCGACTTGCAGAAAATTATTGAATTAAGTTTATGAGAAGAGGAGCTCAGGAAGGCTTTGTAATCTTATCACTGATTTGAATTGGCACATAGATATAAATAATTTGCATTCAATTTCAGATCGCAGAGGAAGGATCTACCATTTCATGTGTGGTAGAGCGAACCAGAGGAGCGCTGGATTATGTGCATGTTTTTTACACCATCTCACAGATAGAATCTGATGGCATTAATTACCTTGTTGATGATTTTGCTAATGCCAGTGGAACTATCACATTCCTCCCTTGGCAAAGATCAGAGGTAAAGCCTTCTTTGTTTCTTGCAAACCTCCTGGAAAGCTTTTCCTGATGTGTTTGTTCTGTAATTTATTTGCAGCCTGTTGCGATTTAAGCCATTTAAGATACCTAGTGATTAGGTAAGTCACAGTATAAAATATTTTGCATTGTGCAAAATAAAGAAATTAAGGATTTTGAATGAGATGTTTTATGGTTATATTTTTTTCTTTAATTCCAATAATATAAAATTGGTGTAGCTGGGCAGTTTATCACTGTGGTTTGTTGTGGTTATTGGACACAATGGGAAACTGAAGAATTCTTAATGGTACTCTTCTAGCCAGCCAATTAATTTTTATAAATCTAAACTCATTTTATTTGCATTAAATTTGGAAAAGTGAGGTAATTTTTATTTGTCTTCATTTAGCTCCAGCTTCATCAAACACTTTTCATGAGCCATAGTTTCATATTTTGAATAAATCCTCCAGCAATGATACTTCTTAAGTGAAATTAGAAAATTCTCCTATATAATAGTCTACCTTGTGGGAATAGTCATATCAGAGTAATTTTTCATTAAACATCTAACTATCCTATAGCTGATCAGAGCTAGCCAGTAAAATAACTTAAAATTTGCAAATATAGTCTGAGGAAATTCCTGAGGGATTTAGAAGTTCATAGGGTGCAAAGTTTACAACTGAGGGAAGGCCTAAATACTCTTAAGAATTAAAGTGCCAAAGTTAAAGAAAACTGTTTAGATGTTTTTCATTGGGGGGAAACAAATTAGCTTATAAGAAAAATGTCTCAATCTATAGATAGATCCACGATAGAGTGCTTACTTCTCTTTGGTAAATGAGGAAACAGAGTAACTAGTAAGATTTCATAAGTCTAATATGTTGTTCAGTTTAAAAGTCTATTTTTCCTGTTTATTGCATCCAACTTTTTGCATATGTATGTGTCATTGAGGTAACATTGGGTTATAGCACTGTGCATACTCCAGGTGCATAGGGTCGCGCCACTTCCCTTCTGTGTTACTACAGCACTCTTGCCGCCAAGGCAGCCATTGGTAGTCCTTCAGCAGAGTATATTTTATTCTTATCCTTTGCCTTTTTCCATCTCTTTTTTGGATTTAAAATGCTCTTTCTTTTAGCAAGTCATCATGATGATATCATACAATGTGATATTAATACCCAAATAGAATATTTTTTAGATAGACATTGTTACTGCTCAACACTCATTATTGTTCAAAAATTTAATTCTCAGATAGCTTTGTGTGTGTGTGTGTAGAATTTGTTAAATAATAACTTTAACCAACTATAATTAGCTATTTTCTTTTAGTAATTGGAAAGTAAATTCTACATGTATTATGCTCAATGCCACTGTAATTTTATATCTACAGGTCCTCAACATATATGTTCTTGATGATGATATTCCTGAGCTTAATGAGTATTTCCGTGTGACACTGGTTTCTGCAATCCCTGGAGATGGAAAGTTAGGTTCAACTCCCTCCAGTGGTGCAAGCATAGATCCTGAAAAGGAAACGACAGATATCACCATTAAAGCTAGTGATCATCCATATGGTAACCAATCCCTTCTGCAAGGATAATCTGTGCTTCGATAGCAGTCTTTGGACCTACTTAGAACTTGCTTTAAAAAAAAAAAATGTTTATATATACAGAACTGGGGCATAGGCAGAGGTTCGGGGGTAGGGGTGGTGGTGGTGGTGGTGAGAGGATTCACCAGAGAGAGAATGGGAACAGAACAGGTGGATATACTGGAATACACTGCTGAGGGGAGCAGCGGGCAGGGCAGGAGAGGTCTGCCACGCCATGCGAGTCACCTCCCTGGCTGGAGATAAACTTGTGCTTCAGTGGCTTTGATGGCTTCATAGTGCTGTACTTTAAACCATTGTGCCACCCGGGAGGGCCCACTTAGAACTTCCTAACAACCTTTTTATAAATATTGAAGTTAAAACTCCCTCTGGACCTTCTAAGCTCTTAAACTTCTCAACAGCCATTAATATTAACTACTGAACTTTAAGCATGTATGTAGTCTAAAGATTTATTTATTTATGCATCAGAACTGGGGTACAGGCCAGAGGTGCAGGGGCGGTGAGAGGATTCACCAGAGACAGAGTGGGGAGCAGAGCAGGACAACTGACAAAGTACACTACTGAGGGGAGCAGTGGCTGGGTCAAGAGAGGTTTTCTGCGCCACGTGGGTCACCTCTGGGGCTGGGATTGAACTTATGTTGAAGTGGCTTTAGCTTCTTAGTGCTGTGCTTTAACCCACTGCACCACCAGGGAGGGCCCCTCCTAGGTTGTGTTTTAACTATGTTATATTTCCAGGTCTTGCATCCAAGTTTTTATCCTTTTTATTTTTGTGCATGGACTTAAGTTAGGACTGTTTTTGTTTATTTACTTTTGCATTGGTGGTTCATGTTTCCCAACACCATTTGTTAAAGACACTTTCCTTTCTTATCATCAAATGTTTTTAAAAATCTTGTTGCCAGTCTTTTAGATACCATTAATCACGGTGTACAGTGAGTTTATGTATGAATTCTATCAATAGAAGAGTAACTGTTTGATAATATCCTTTTAAAAACTTGATCGTTATTTTTATTCTGTAAAAAAGGAATTTTCTTTGAGCAGAGACAAGGAAAATTATTTTAATGTTTAACATCTTGAAAGTCTATTAACATACTCTGGGTCAAAAATATGTTAATAGCATAGTCATTCATGTCTTTTCTAAATGAAAGGACTCAGAATTTCTCCTGGTGCTCAAAATAATTGTGCAGATTGTTGCAACTGAGTAAGATATTCTTATACAGATAATTGGGCCAAGAATGCTTTGCCTTTTTCTTGTATCTTCTAGGCTTGCTGCAGTTCTCCTCAGGGCTACCTCCCCAAGCTGAAGATTTAATGATCCTGCCAGCAAGCAGTGTTCCCCGGGTCACCGTGCAGGAGGAGGATGGAGAAGTTAGGTTATTGGTGGTCCGAGCACAAGGACTCCTGGGGACGGTTGCGGTGGAATTTAGAACCATTTCACTGACAGCGTTCAGTCCTGAGGACTATCAGGTAAATCACTTAATCCTTTGTAAGCAGCATTTGCACTGGTAAAATAGACATAACTGTTCTTCTTTTGGAGGAATGATATGGACTGCACTGTCCCTGAGATATGGAAAAGTAAGCACTGATAAATTTCCAGTATTTTAAAGTTCTGTAAATTAAAGTATTTCAGTTTCTTGAAACCCCACAATTAAATTAGCAATTATTCTGATTTCACTTTTACTTTATGTGTGTCATGGGCTTCCTTTGTATTACTAATTTTAAAGTTATCGGCTTTAATCAGACATTTAAAATTGAGCCCCATACACATTTCAGATCACCTCATATCATTCATCAAACATAGAAATTATATGCCCATATCTTTGCCATTTTGATTACTTTTTTTTCCAAGTGGTGAACAGTGTGGTAAAAAAAAAAAAAAAAAAAAAAAAGCTTGGCATTTGGAACTGGACAGAACTGAATCTTCTAAATGTGTGGCCTTGGGAAACTGGATCTTTTGTGACATCGATTTCTTTATTTGAAAAAGAAAGATAATATCTGTTGAGCAAGACCGCTCTGAACATTTTAAATGTGTTACATTGTAGTGGCACATACATAGTCATACTCAGTAACAGCTCACTATTCTTATTATCACCAGTAAGTATATTAAGTGAATCCCCAGTTTCTTCTTAGTTATACTTCTATCCAGATGCAGGGAAAATTTCTCTTTCAAAATCTTGTTTCTTTTGAGGTGGGATGGATGAACACATTAACATCAGACAGATTAGTAGGAGAAATTGGCAAAATTTAATAACATATAAGAAGAAGTTACATGGTTGTATGTCCTAATGGTAAGATGGGATGGGCCTGGATGTTGAGGAGAGAGAAAGGGAAATTTCCACATGACACAGAGGAGGTGACCTGCTTATTTTACTCTGAGAGTAAAACAGTGAGTTTCACAGAGAAGAGGACATGCTCACAGATAAACCTTTGCTTGGGTAACACGCCTCAAGGCACATTCTTCTAGGTCATAAAAACAGGGAACCCATTGCTTCTTTGATTTGGAAAAGGATAAATGATTGAAACAAAGACAAAGCTTTTCTTAGCCTCTAGGGCCTTCACTGCTTGTAATTTGAAATAACCTTCATTGTTTAAACTGAAAAGAATAGATACATTTGATTTGAGCTCTAAAAAGAGAAGCTATGCGTTGTTTAAATGATAGTACCATCTCTCAAGGTCCAGAGGGTCTCAACTGACCCTGTTTCCCTTAACAGGATGACGTGTATTGGGGGGGGGGGCTTGCTCTGGGTGTGTTGGGGAGATTGATCCAATGTTTCCCAGAAATAATTTGATACATTTCAACATTTCTGCTTTTTAAAGAATCTTTTTCTTTAAACTTAATGTTAGTTCTCCTCTTCCACCACTTTTTTTTTTTTTTAAGATTTATTTATTTTTGCATACAGAGCTGGGGTATAGGCCAGAGGTGCAGGGGCAGTGAGAAGATTCACCGGAGACAGAGCGGGGAGCAGAACAGGCCGACTGACTAAGTACACTGCAGAGGGGAGCAGCGGGCAGGTCAGGAGAGGTCTGCCACGCCATGTGGATCACCTCCAGGACAGGCGGGGATTGAACTCATGCAGAAATGGCTTTAGCTTCTTAGTGCTGTGCTTTAACCCGCTGCCCCACCAGGGCCCCCATCACTTCTTAATAGTGGTGCAGTGTTGACTACTTTGTACATACTTTCTATCCCAAGTCCCAGAAACCTTGACTAATCAAGTTCAGGTTTTCTTTTTTTGTCTATAACCCAGTTAGCAAACTTGTCTCAGGTTTCCTCCTTCTTAAAATCTTTTTCCGGGGCAAGTTATATTTTCTTACCCATGCCATTTATTGTGTCTTTAACTTATTCTACATCACATTGCATCTTGGATTCTTTAAAATTCTTTTAAAGAGACTTTTGCTCTTATATTGATAGCCTTCATTTTCTGAACTTGCCCAACCTCCAGTTGGATTATGATAACTAAAAGAAAAATAACTAAAAGAAAAGAAAACAAAACCCCTATTCATCCTCCATAACTATCAGAAAGCTGATACTCTTGGAGAAGTTTCTGAAGATTTCAGGGGTGCTTACAGATCTTGTTTATTTCTTATCACCACTTTAACCATTGTCTTTATTTATCCCTGAAAATCTGATAACATTTGCCTTAACCATTTCTCTAATGTTTCAGTTCTCTCTGCTCCATGTCAACACAAAAGTAAGAATTTCTTAGCCTTTGTATGTGGATATGTCTTTGAGTATACAATGGAGGCGGAGGAGGGGAAGGTTTGAAGATCTGACATTGTTGCTCTTAATTTTATTTTCATGTAACAGTTACAGGTGATCACCATTCAGTTGTTTACTTTCAACCTCTGGGAATTATATTAACTAAAAAAAAAAAAAAAAGGCTGATTCACAGTGGTAGAAGCTGTCTAGAGTTGGTACTCTAAGAGAGATGGGAGTTGGCATAACCTAGGTAGTCAAGGAGGGTTTTCTTGGGGAAGTGTGTTTATGTGAGTTTTGAAGAAAATCAGAAACTTAGGTTTCCTAAGGGGGCAGGTATTGCTTGAAACTAATAAAATGCCATAAGTAAAATGGCCCTAATGTAAGGGAAAGATTAGGCATAGTATTGGAAAGAAGACTAGGTGTGGTAATAAAAGATAAGGAATTCAGGAACTGTAACATTCCATGTCTTTCAGGTCAGGCCATATGTTTTGGATTCTATTTTCAAAACAAGAAGTAATGGAAGGGTGTCAGACATAAAATTTCACTATTAGGCTGATCCACTGAGAATGGATTAAGAGATGAAAGCATTGGATGTTGAAAGACCAGTAAAGAGCTATTTTGTGGAGTAAGACAAGAGGTGATAGTTATCTTGGGTTGGGCAGGTCATAATGAAAAGAAGAAAGATGAAATTAAGTAGTGCACTAAAGAAGTGTATAAGAATTAAAATAACAGGATTTGAAGATTGTTTAGTGTGAAGAATAAGGCAGAAGAGAGTAATGAGGACTTGGTTTTTGGCATAAGCAACTTGCTGTTCTACAGTGTAGTGCTGTGGAAAGAAGTGATGTGGAATGGTTTTTAAGGGAAGAGCATGAAATTAATATTTTAAAAGAAGTTATAAGAAAGCTTCAGATACATATTAAGATTGGATATTCGAGGTTGGAGATTTAAATTTGGGCATCGGGAACATATCAATAATATGACTAGAATACGATAGATAACCTTTTCTAGAGTGAGAATCTGATCAAAGTGGTTTTTAGAACTTATAGAGCAAAAAATACTGAAAATAACGACAACCAGAAAGGGTGGAAAAACACCCTTTCTGGGGAGTGTGACATTTTGGATATCGAAGAAGGACATTTTTTCAGAAGAGGAAGTGGTAACTTTGTACAGTGGTGCTGAGCTTAAGTAGAGGGTTTCTTTGACACTGGCCAATGTTAATGTCTGTTGGTAAGATTTGTTGAACTAATGACTACTAAACACTAGCCAGAGTTAATTGCTTCCTCTTTGCACTAATTATATATGTTTTACAGCAACTGTTATTCCATTTAAATTATTTTATTACATGTTTAACATTTGTCCTGGAATGTTCTTCATGGTAAACATTTGATCTTGAGACTGGTAAAATGGTTATATGGTCATAATATAGGAAAAAGCACATTTGGAGAAACTCACTATTTTTGAATCCAAGCATCGATAGTGGTGCCAAGCTACAGCTACATGTTTCATAAATAGTAAATAGATGATGGAGTGAATGAACTGGTGACTTGGGTTCCTTTGTAATTTTTTAGTTCTAAGATCATCAGTAGTACCACAAAATGTATAATTGTTTACACAAGCTTAACACTAGAAAAATTTTAAAAGTTTAAACAATTTAAAATTGTATTCTCATAATTTTGGGGGGAAATAATGTGAGATAGCTAAAGGGGAATAGGCAGCCTTAAGACTTTGATTTTCTATAACTGTTGTAATATGTAAACTTCTCTGGTGGGAAGTCTGTATTGAATTTGCAAATATAATCAAGGAAAGTCTACTTTTTTGCCAAGTGGACTGATATTTATTTAGCTTAGAGAAAATTTCAGAATGAAAATTATGGACTGAATGCATAAATTACTCTGGTTTAATTTGAATATCTCTAAATATACTTAGTAGAGAGAGTTCCTTTCACCTCACTGAATAAGATCTCATATTTGCCTAGACTGTTACTTTGATGAATAGTCAAATAAGAGAAATAAAAGCCCATCTGCCTTACTTAGAGAACATTTACTTAGAAGTTCTAATGAACACTATTCAAATCCACTTAAATATTTCTATTTATTTATTTTTTTTACTTAGCATGTAAATGTGATTTTTATTACAAAGTTTATTTTTACATCATTTTGCACATTTTTTTTTCCATCTCGATTGTAATCCCTGCGGGTTTCCCATCACCAAATCACCCCTGTGCCACCACCATATCTATTTATTGTTTTACTTACACTCTTCTTTTGCAGTATTTACAACAATTTGGGACATAGCAAATAACCATTTGGAAAATTCATATATAGAATAACTATAATCTGATGGATAGATATTTTATTTGTTTTTCAGAGTGTTGCTGGCAGCTTAGAGTTTCAACCAGGAGAAAGATATAAATACATTTCTGTTAACATCACTGATAATTCTATCCCTGAATTAGAAAAGACTTTTAAAGTTGAGTTGTTCAACTCGGAGGGAGGAGGTAAGACTGGCAATTCCAAAATATCAAGTATTTGTTTTCTCATAGTTGAGCCTACTAAGAAAATATGTTCTTTTGAATCACTTTACTTTTTTTTTTTTTTTAAATGAGTGAACTACAGTTTTGGAAAGAGAAGCTAAGATAATTAGTTGCTTCAAAGATTCATGGACTACAAGCTTTTGACTAATAATCCCTTTCTTGGTAAAAAGAAAATTCCCATTACTCTACTTTAACTTAGAGTACTGGTTTTAGAAAATAACATTTAATTCATTTTTTTATATAGTTTTGCTATGAGACTTGGTTAACACTGAATTAATAACACTGCTGTTTATTACACAGGCATAGTTGCTTAGTTGCTCCTTTAGGGATATCTTCAGATGTAATGCTTATAAATATTTGCTCTTTAGATGACCTTTTATGATGTTTGTATCACCAAAATGGAACAATCATCTTGTTCTGTCATTCAGAAAGCTCTGATTAATAAAGATTTTTGGAGACAAACCCATTTCCAGGCAAAACTCAACTGCATTGAAATAAGTGACTCACAATTTTGACTTATCTCTTTTAAATTATCCTCTGATAAATGTTTCTTAGCAGAAATATTAATATATTTGTTTAGCAGGTACTACTGGGCTTATTATGCATGTCATATGCACCATATTATCTTTGTAAATGTAAAAAAATTCAAGTTGATATAATAGTCACTGTTGCAATCTTTTCCATTACAAAACCTGGTATTATCTATTTATCATCTTTAATGTTTTGATGAAGAAATTCATAGTACTATGAAGATACACAAAAGGGCACAGCAGTGTTACATTTTATTATTAAAATGATCTTTTAGTATAATGTAGGATTTGGGCATAAATATGTAAAATTTCCCTTCCTTGTATCCTCAAGACAGCTGAAAACAGAGGAGGTCAAGACAGTGTTTGGGAGTAGAAGAGTGATTAAACAGTGCCACAACTTGGTTAAATGCACAAATTAGTAAATTGCACTGTTGATCTGTTTGGCAGGAGGTATAGAAAATACCTGCTTGGCTTATGTGAAGATGCATCTTATCCATATGCTGTAAAGAAGTCCTCCAAATCATTTTCCAAATCTCCAGATCATTTACATGATAGGACTTTCACTAGTATAAAGGTTATTATAACATGCTTATGCAGTATAGAAATTTAGTGATTATTGTCTAATATTGATTAATAGGGAATCTCAGATTTTCCTCTAAAATGATCATAGTGCACTTTTGATTGTGTGCAAACACTTTTACTTTTATCTCTAGAATCGGCATAGTTATATATTAATTGAACATGAGCATTCCTTTATATATTAATTGAACATGAGCAATTCCTTTAGTATTGTACTTTCTTAGTAAAAGGAGTGGTAGAAAATCTGATTTTCTGTCAGTGAGTACAGATTGAAAATGTAATAATCTAGACTGGGCTTTATTCTTTGAGTCACCACTTCAGAGGTGAAATTGCTTGTAGAGCCAAATTCTTTTCGAAACTCAAGAGAGCAAATCAAATTCCATACTTTATGTCCATAAGTTGCATCTTCACATAAGATAGCTTCCTGAAAAGATGTTTTCTGCTAGCTAGAAAACACTGATACTTATTTATGTTTACTCCTCTTTCTCATCTCTTCTGAATCATGCAGGGTCAGAGGCAAGTACTATCAGTAGATATTTCTGAATACCTATTTTGTTAAGTCTTCAAGTTGGTTTCAGGATTTAAGTGCTTTCAGTTTTCATGTCTGGTAAATCTCAGTTCTGTGGAGGGGAAAATCAGAGGAGTAGGGCAGACCTTAATCCAGCATGTCAGTCAAGGGTACTGGTTAGGAGCACCTCTGTCTGGACATGGCTCCCTTTTCTCTTCCACTTAACAATTGCTGCCCTTCCTGTCTTCTTTATTTGCAAATGTTTGGTGAAATAATGGTGTGAGTTATAGCCACGTTCATTTTATTATTGTCTTGATGCATTGCCAACATGCTTGATATTTTTTCATGATTTGATCTTTACAGCAGTTCTATAGAAGGCAGAACTGCTTATAGGCAAACAATCTGAGGTACCAAGAACTGCAGTAATTTTGCTGTAGGTGCCTCACAGCCAGGGCTGAGGCAGGGAACTTTTGGCTTTCTTAATTATCTCCCACAGTGTCATTGGCAAAATGGTGATTAAGTTTGACAACGGTACATATAGTGGGAGCTTGAATATATGACTGGAGGGAAGTATTACATGCATTTCCCTAATTTTGTTTTGTTATTGTAAAAAATAAGGTGACTGTTACAGGCAGTTAGACAGATATGTATGATCTTATATACACACAAATATCTAATAAATATTTAAAGTGTTAAAAACAAGTTATATTGTATGTTAGTGAAAATTTAAAAAGAAATGAAACTAGTTAAATTGACAGAAATAGGAAATATCAATTATATCTTACCTAGAGTATTTCCTGAAGCTATCAATTTGGTAGCTTGATGAATGTTAACACTTTTGCTACTTAATCTGATGTCTGTGGAAAAATGTATGTCAGTGGGTAAATATAATTGCATTTTCTTCTTGGCTAGATATGTTTTAAGAGCTCTCAATTTTCAATTTTCTCACTGTGTCAATATGTGTTGTGTGGGTTGTGTCCTTGTATGTCTCCTTGTGAAGTCCCTGAACTCTTTAGGGTTGAAGGCAGTGGTAGTGGTGATGGGGACATGGAATTCTTCCTTCCAACTTTTCATAAGCATGGTAAGCAGCTGTTCTTAAGCGCTTTGCTATTCAAAATATGTTGTTTTAAATTTACTTACTGGGGACACAAATACCACTTATTGATACCTATTATGTACAGGTCTTTTACATATTTTATAACATTAACTGTCACAGGAACTTTATGAGTATTCATATTCATATTACATTACAGCCACCCAGCTAGAAAGAGATTAAGATAGTCAAGTCCTGCCTACCTGCAAAGCCCAGACACCCTCTCCATGTGAACCTAATTCATATTCTTGATTCAAATTGCAGTAAGAAATTTTTCTTGAGTATCATTTTCTAAAATGATTATTAAAAATATTGATATGATTTTGAATATCTAAACTTTTCATGTTAAATATGTCATTCTTATTTATAAGAAGGAACCACAGTCTTTACAGAGAGAGCACTTTATCAAAGTACATGCCAAAATGAAGTTAACAAGAAAATAAATGGAAGAGTAAGTTGCCAGTGGATGGGAGGGAATAGTGAAGAGAGGTTGCCTTTTGAAGTAGATTCATAAATAAATATAATTTATCTTTTTACCTCAAAAGTTTATATATAGGAGTGATGCATAAAATACTTGGTTCTCTAGGAAAATCTCTTTTAAATCCTTTACTGTTCTTTTTTTACAATGTCAGCTTTTATATTGTAGTGTTAGAACTCATGTTCCCACGCCTGGCATGGCTAACTTTCATTATGCCTCAGGTAGCCTCTACATTTATTACTCGCTACTGCTGGGTCTGTTCCTTTTCTTGTCTCTGCCCATTACTGTAACATAAAGTTTGAACATACTAATCAGGAAAAAAATACTTTTAAAGATCTTGACATCTTTTTATTGTACTATTTGGGACCAGGAGAGGTTAATCTGTACTATCATAACATGATGAAAAAAATAAGTTATAATTAATGCATATTTTTGAAACGGTGAATATGTTCAGTCAGATTGATGAAAATTAGGCAATGACTGTTTCCTAAAGGTAAGAGTTATTTTGGCTCATGTTTGTCTGAGGTTAGTAAGGTCGTGGGAGACTTTCCTCCTATATACTGTGTGAAAGAATGTTCTCTTTCACAAAGAAGAATAAGGAAAAACAAGTTTTTAAGTCCATGGACTTAAGCAGCACTTGTATATCATGGTGGTGCCAAAACAGAGAGAGGTCATAAAAGCATGAATATGTGTGGCAACCATTTGTATCTGCTTTTCTTTCTGAAACAAATTAGAACTTAATCAGTGAATGGTACAACTCTTTTCAAAAGCTTCTTCCTTGGCTTTTCCTTTAGTTTGTAAATTACTGATTAACATTTTTCTTGCTGTTTGTTGGAACTTATTCATGCAGCTAGTCTAGGAGTGGCTTCCCAAATTCTAGTGACAATTGCAGCCTCGGATCATGCTCATGGTGTGTTTGAATTTAGTCCTGAGTCTCTCTTTGTCAGTGGAACAGAACCAGGAGATGGATACAACTCTGTTACATTAAATGTGAGTACATTTTCCCTACAGTCTTAGACATTCCTGTTCTTTTAGAACTGTTTTATTGTATATGAAGGTCTGCTTCATGCTAATTTTTTTCTAGGTAGGTAGTGAAGAATGAACTTGGTGGTATTTAATAAAAGTTGACAATTGAATTTGTGATTTGGTATTTGCTTTTAAATAGAGTTGCTTATAGATTCATCTTATGATTCTAATGATTCCTGATTCTAAGGAGTATAATAGAGTTGTCCCCTGTGATTCTTTTGCATAGATTTTGGAGTTAATTCATATTGGGGTGGTAACAATTCCCAGATTCAAAATACACCAGATTTACCTGTCATGGGGTAATAGTGGTACATGACCACTAAAAGTTGGCAGTCATCTCTGATTTAGGGATCAAGGATTACAGAGGCTGCATTCAACAGGTGCTTCTATCCTCACCAAGGGATGGAAGGGGTGGGTGTGAGGTGGGGGTGGGAGGGAGATCATTTCTTTCTGAAAGTGATACACAGCTTTTTTGCTTATACCATCTTAATCAAAGGTAGTTTCATGCCCATGCCTGATGTTGATGTGTGGATACATATGATCTATTCCTAAAAGGAAAAAACATTCTGAAACATTTATGAATGAAAATCATAATTTTGTATGATGTGTGTGTTTGTTTTGGGGTATCTGCTTTATTTTAGTAGGATTTAAGTAGAATTCTGTAATTTAAATAACTCAGGATGTTACGTGCTTTTCAACTTAACTAAAGTATTATATGAATAACAAAGATGATTGAAAATATATCTCTTCTGCACTCTTATAGCAGATCATTAATGAACTGTTACAAAATGAATTGAAAAAATTAGGGAGGATAATTACCCAGAGAAATTAATTAAGGTTAGGATTGAGATTTATGAAATTCCTGTTTAAAATATTTTGATTTCATATTTGTATTTTAAGTATAAATCAAAGTTATTTGGGTCTTCAGGGTACTTTTTAGGGCTTTTTTTTTTTCTTAAAGATTATTTGTTCATGCATATAGGAACTGGGATGTAGGCGAGAGGTATGGGGTTGAAAAGATTCACTAGGGACAGAGTGGGGAGCAGAACAGGCAGATCTACTGAAATATACTGCTGTAGGGGGAGGGGTAGAGTGGGCGAGAAGTTTGCTGTGCCATGTGGGGCATCACCCTGGCCAGTGATTACTCATGCTGCAGTGGAAAGAGATTGATAGCTTGATAGCACTGGCTTTAATCCCTGTGTCACCAGGAAAAAGCCCACTTTTTAGAGCTTTTCTGCTTTACATATTTTAGACAGAAGTACTTCTTCTGAAATGTATCTTATTAAACCTTGAGTCGATTACATTGTTGTTGAGTTTTTAATATTCTATTATATTGAAGATAAAAGGAAATATAATTTGCTTTGCAAACTAAGTTTTGGGGCCACATTTTTGGGAAAAATATCACTCACATGTTCCTTATGATAAAGTTCATTCATCTTTTCTACAAATGTAAGCATTTTTATGTTTGTTTAAATATAATAAATTGTTGATTTATATTTGCTTTATTACCAATATATAATTGCAGAAAAGGTACAGCTATAGTTTATTTGGAAGGTACAAATATCCAATCAATTTGTAGTTTCTCAGAACAATCTTATTTTAGTGGGATTATAAACAACATCAGTGATAGGTGGTACATGAGCCTGGTCTTCAAGAATCTTATTTGTCAGGACTTTATAAAATGGAATAAAAATAATAGCTTGCAGTCATTATGTATTTAAGTGTCTAAATTACTGGATTTAAACTTTTTTCAAATATACTTTAATATTAAATATTTTGTAGATTATGAGAAGTCATGGGACACTCTCTCCAGTGACTTTGCTTTGGAGCATAGACTCTGATCCTGATGGAGACCTTGCCTTTACCTCTGGCAATGTCACATTTGAGACTGGGCAGAAGAGTGCCAACATCACAGTGAAAATATTGCCTGACGAAGATCCCGAACTTGATAAATTGTTCTCTGTGTCCCTCATTAACGTCTCCAGTGGTTCTTTAGGAGTTCATACTAATGCCACATTAATTGTTTTGGCTAATGATGATCCTTATGGAGTCTTCATCTTTTCCGAGAAAAATAGACCGATTCAAGTCGAGGAAGCGACCCAGAACATCACGTTGTCAATTATAAGGTTAAAAGGCCTCATGGGAAAAGTCATCGTCATGTACAGAACACTGGATGATACGGAAAAACTGCCTTATTTCCCACCTAATTTAGCCAGAGCAACTCAAGGACGAGACTATATACCAGCTTCTGGATTTGTTCTTTTCAGTGGTAATCAGAGTGAGGCAACAATAACTATTTCAATTTTGGATGATGATGAACCAGAAAAGTCAGAGTCTGTTTTTATCGAACTACTGAACTCTACATTAGTAGAAAAAGTGCAGAATCGTCCAAGTGAGTAATTGTTAGTATGTTATTATTACTAAAGAATTTTTAAACAATAAATTAAGGATTGGGTATTGCAGGAAACTATAGAGAAAGCACTAACTTTGAAAACACTAAACAAATCATTTACAAAATTTTATCTTAGAACATTTATCTATAAGACAAATGGGAGTGGGACACATGAAAACATGTCCTAAAAGACTATTACATTTCCAAACTAAAATTTAGAAGATTCTACGTAATCCCTGTGTAACTGACCTCTGGCACTATTGTGCTATGTATTACAGTATTCAAAATTTTTGCAATCAGTCAGAAGATTTCAGGGTTGGACTTAGTAGCAAGAGACTGAGTCTCTTGCCTCCATCTGCTCTGAAGATCCCCTGACCAACAGATGCTCTTTCAGCTGGCTAGGATCTGGAAACTGCGTAGGGGAATTAGCCCTTGAGGAATTCCATAAATCTGTGGATCGCTTTGAGAGTTGAGAAGACATGGTAGGGATAAGTATGAGAATTGAGGAGTGACACATGTCAGACAGAGGATCTGGTGCAGCCCTTCTAGTGGAAAGGAGAAACTGTTCCCCTTGGCTTGTGACTTACCTGCTTTGTAGAGAATAGGGTGTCCGCTGGGAGAGAGCGGGACTTTCAATTGTGGAACTAAATGCAGTTACAGTGGGACAGCTTGTTAATTGCTTACATCTGTTAAGACAATAGTTAACAGGTTAGAAAATGTTTTTAAAAAGAGGAATCTAGATTCCATAGAATAATTGAATAAGTAAATGAAGAAAAATCGGTGATTTGATATATCAGTTTAAGGAAACTATAAGAAAAGAAAACCTTCCTAAAGAAACTGCAACTACTTAGTCTAAACAGCTGTTTGTTGATTGTGTTCTGCCTTATAAGGTTCTGCCTTATAACCTTATTAAGGTTTCTTACAAGTAAACATTTTTACCTTACCATGCATGACACCTGGATGAATATTATATATTATGAGCAAAATTTCTTTTTTATTATGGAGGTAATAATGGCTACAGCACTGAATAGTTTTCAGGTATACAGTGTCTATTGATTGTGTCTACCAGGTAAAACTAAAAAACCTTGAATGACTCCTTCAGTTTCTCTGGTGTGATTGGACATAGCGATGGTGTGGGAATTTAGTATTTTGATATAAGAAAAGTGTTTAGAACTTGTAAACCTGTAAAATAGTCCACTCAAAAAAATTCTATCTGCTGCTATAGCTTTCTATATTACTGCCATTCTTTTCTGTATTTTGAATTTAATTATATTACATTAATTTATAATTTGTGATTTTTAAATCTGATATAATTTGATATGGTCTGAGCCTGTATCATTAAAATTAAAAGGTATATATATTTACATTTGGATTAAATTATCTGAAGATGTTAAATTTTATTCATAATTACATGCTTCCAAATACTACAATTGTTAGTCTTTTAAATATGAACTAAAATTTGATTGATTGTCTCTAGTGAGAGCTTGTTTTGTGCTTCATTTTTGTTAAAAGGTCAATATTAATATTGTTTTGGCACCGATACTGGTTGGAATTGAAACTAGAAAATAAGGCAGGGAGTTTGTGGAAACCCCTAAAACCTTCAAAAATAAGCTTTGGTCTCTCTGAAATCAGTGAAATGTAAGAAGAGAGCCTAAAAAGCATGGAAAACACTTTGTTATGGTAGCTTTGAGGTATCCTTGGGGCTGACTGCTTTTCAGATAAGGCAAATGTTGACTATTACCTAAGATGGAGCTTGGAGAAAAAGGTTTGTGAGGGAGAAGAGTGAAGTAGAGAGGCAGTAATTTAATTGTAGGGTGATGATTTGCAGGTGATCTTTAAAGACTAGGCATTAAATTACTTTCCTACTCAATTTTGCAACTAAAATTGTGTTTTTTTTTTTTTTTTTTTTTGATGTGGGTGTGCTCTTTTTAGGAGCGTCTCTGTGTGTTTTTTTTTTTTCTGTGGCAGTGTTTTGTGCAGTGTTTGTTTAGTTGTTGTTATTCTTTTTTTTTTTTTTACCAATTTTCCATTTTTGTTTAAATTTTTCTTTTGGGTTTAAAAAAAAATCTCACTGGAAAATAAAGCCATACGTGTGTGGGGGCTTTAATTTATTTTTGTATCCCTAATGTCTAGAATAATGCTGGTATGTAGTAATCAATGATTTTTAAGTATAAATCATAGAGACAAAAACACCAAATAATAATGTCATTTGGTTGAAGAAATCTTGCTGAGGTCTCTAGATGACTTATGGCCTGTTTTCAGAAAGTTGATGTGTGAATTTTTTTATTTTTCAGTTCCAAATTCTCCACGCCTTGGGCCTATGGTAGAAACCATTGCTCATCTAATTATTGTTGCCAATGATGACGCATTTGGGACTCTTCAACTCTCGGCTCCAGTTGTTCGAGTGGCAGAAAATCATGTTGGGCCCATTATCAATGTGACAAGAACAGGAGGAACATTTGCAGATGTCTCTGTGAAGTTTAAGGCTGTACCTGTAACTGCAATAGCTGGTGAGAAACTTTATCTCAGGAACAGTGAAACTTTCTAGAGAGAAGACTTATTCATGGTTAACAAAGCCACTCGAAGATGTAGTTAGAAAAAGAAGCCAGAAATCAATAATGCTTTGCCATCTTTGTGAAGGCACAGATCTAGAACTTTTATTTTACTGTATTTACTATAAATTTAATTTATGACATTAAATTTGTAGAATTTGTGAAAACTGTTGGCAAACATGTATGCGATTTACAAGCTATGATTATACAAAATATGTATAAATGAATGAAAAAGAAACTAAGGAAAGTTAGGTTCTGTGTATGGGATTTAAGGGGGATTCACTGAGGAATGCAGGAAAAAATGTAAAGCCACATAAGTGCTTGGTTGGCAACAGTCTCCTGTCTCATCCATGCATCTTGCTTATTTGTAAAGAACTTGGGAGAGATAGTTGTTAGCATTAACAATTTTCCATATAACCAAAAGGACTTCATTTCCAAATGCAAACATTAGAAGGAGGAGACTGCCTTCTTTGTACAGTTGCAACAGCTGGAGAGAGATTTGTGTAGGAATTATTAAAGTACAGTCTTCCTCATGTGCATTCAGAAGAACATGTGTGTGAAAGGATAGGGAGTCATGCTTGATATTTTCAAAATTAATTATCTGCATATAATACTTGAACAGACAACAAACTAGACTCACATAGTTCCTGCATGGTGTGTTTCTGTTTATGGCTGTGTGCCTGCTTTTGGGATGAGCAGCACAGAGCAATGCCTGACTTCTGTCGGACCTTTTCACATTGATATCGATGGATTTGATTGTTCTTCCAGAAACTTAGGTCTCTGGCTCCATAGGGAAGCTCTTCATTTTCTCCCCTAACGAAAGTAACCTTTACTACAACTATGGCCAAAGTTCAGAATTTCCAGCTGTAACATTGATGATGCTGACATGTCTCTAAGTGTGTAATGGTATAATTTATCTCCTAAGAGAGTGCCGGGCTTTTTACGCCATTAGCCTCTGTGGCTATCATCTGAGACCTTGGTTATATTGGTGCAGAAGGCATTGTAGAGCGTGGGTGCAAGGCACACGTGCTGGTTGTTGACACCTGGAGTGTGGATGCGTGCACATGAACAAGTGTACACACCTGAGCCCAGTGGCCAGGGCTATAAAGGCGGCTACGAGCGGGTGAGTTGCATGGCTACAGAAGAGGCAAGACCACGAGGGGGCGCCATAGAGAACCCAAAGAAAGCATAGTCAGGTGGCGAGGACTGGGAGGCCCAGTCGCTTTCCTGCTGCCCAGTTGCTTTCCTGCCTCCCAGCCTGCAGGCTTTCCACTAGAATTGGCCTTAGTGGTGGCATTCGTAACATACTGGTATGGAGCCCTCTAAAGACCTTGCGACAGACCGAGGAGTGGTGGGCTGTGACCAGGTGGTGCTTGGTAGACTCGGTAGTCAGCTTCCCCTTTTTGGTGGTGCCGCTATTTCCCAGGGCAGGTAGAGAGGACTCTGCACACGGTGGGGAAGGCGTTGGATGGCATGGTGTCATCTCAGAGGCAGGGCAGGAGTGAGAGTCACTCACAGCTGTGCAGGTGTATCGGAGACAATGCTGGCGGCACCCTGGCAGCACATGAGGTGGCCCGAGTGCAGGAGCTGTGAGAAGAGCTAAGATGCTGAGGAGCACAGGAGGTGGGCAAGGTCTGGAGCTGTGGGACAAGATGGCCTGTGGAGGAGGAGATGGCCCACAGGACCAGCCCTACTACCCCTGAGGCAGCAGACTTGCTGAGAAAGAAAGAGGACCACTACTTGTCATTCAGTGTTGGCCCAGTGATGACACACGATTAAAAGTGATTGGGGCAGTGCTGCAGGGTTAAGCAGCTGAAAGATGCTGAAGAAGGCAAGCATGTGCCTTAAAATCACCTGTGGGTGCTAACCCTTCTCACTTTTGAATAGAGTGAGTTGGTGAGGAACCTTTGAGAGATGGGTGGGCAACATGACTGTGGTGGAGACCCTAGCTGGGTGTTGGGGGGAAGCAGGAGAGAGACCAACCTGTGGAGCTTGCTATCCACAGGTCCCCAACCCATGTGCTGTGCAAAGGGTGGGACTTAGTTCAGGGGTCTGCTTGTTAAATTGGTGGCTGTGAAGGCCAAGTGTTGGAGTGACACAGTATGAGTGCCCCTGGGAATTGAGCTATTACCCCCAAGTATAAGGTACTGAGTGTGTGCATTGCCAGTCTCCGAGTACACCCTGGAATGGATGTAGCATGTGGCTGGTTGCTGAAATCACAGAGAACCACAGCCACAGACAGCAGATGCCATGAGTGAATAGAGTAGTTTCCATTTCGCAAGAGCACTGTCTGCAGTAGCAGATCAACTCCTGGTGCCAAGAGCTTTGGCTTTTCACCCCTAGGTTGGTGCCTTGTATTCTGTTCTATTGAGTTGCATCCTGTTTACTTTTGTGTTTGTGGCTGTGGTGTTTGACATTTGCCAAGGGAAAATTGAGGAAGAATGACAGGTAGCTGTATGGTGAAAAACTCTGAGGGGTGGGTTGTGGGGTGAGTGAATTAATCAGGCTTTGTACACCATTGGCCTCATGGCTATCACCTGCAGCCTTGGTTATGTTGATGATGGCACTGGGGAATGTGAGTGTGGGCCACGCGTGTCTGACTGTGGACACCTGGGTATGAGCCCAGGTGCAAGTATGTGTGTGTGTGGGGGCATGCCCAGGTGTGAGTGTGCACACCTGAGCCTAGTTGCCAGGGATGTAAAGATGGCTATGAGAGTATGAGTGGCAGAACTACAGAAGAGGCAAGACCTCAAGAGAACACAAAAAGCGTAGATTCATTGGGGCCCTCTCTGGTGGCGCAACTGGTTAGGATGCAGCACTGCAAGCAGCAGCTGCTTCAGTGCAGGTTCCAAACCCACCTCGGAGGTGACCCACATGGTGTGGCAGACCTCTCCTGACCCACCTCTGCTCCCCTCAACAGTGTACTTTGTCAATCTGTCTGTTCTGCTCCCCACTCAGTCTCTGGTGAATCCTTTCATGATCCCTGCACCTCTGATTTGTATCCCAGTTCTGTATGCATAAATAAATAAATCTTAAAAAATAAATTCATTGAGGACCAGGAGGCTTGGTTATTTGCCTGCCTTCTTGGGTGTCAGCCTTCCTTCCTGGTGTGCCTGTGTACCTGGTTACCTGAGAGAGCATTAAAGCCTGTGAAGTCCCCTGAAGGCTCTGGATTTTCCTTTATCCATCAGTATTAAAGCTATCCTGTGCTTGCTGGCACAAGAATTAAGAATTTTGGTTGTAAATATTTGTGTGTGTGTGTGTGTGTGTGAGAAAGGTACCCTCTATGGCAATGGGTGAGTCACTATACATCTTTGTCTATGTCTAATCTATAACCATATCTATATCTGTATTTGGCAAATAGAACAAACCGTTTTTCTAAAAAGTAGAGGAATTAACTTGAATACTCTTAGGAAGTCTTTTTCATTCATGGCATTAAATGTTTCTAGCAAGAGGGAACATATTTCAAATTTATGAAGTCAGCATATCAAAACATGTTAAATATAGCCATACAATTTCATAGGTAATTATGATAATAAACATATTTATTATCATAGTGTAGAATAAATCTGAAAATTTTGCTTTTTGCCTTTGTAGGTGAAGATTATAGTATAGCTTCATCGGATGTGGTCTTGCTAGAAGGGGAAACCAGTAAGGCTGTGCCAATATATATCATTAATGACATCTACCCTGAGCTGGAAGAAACTTTTCTTGTGCAACTACTGAATGAAACAACAGGAGGCGCCAAACTAGGGGTGTTAACAGAGGCAGTCATTATTATTGAAGCCTCTGATGACCCCTATGGATTATTTGGTAACAGACTAGTTTGTGTCTTTCGTTTATCATTCCTGTATAGATTATATATTTCTAGATACTTGGGGTTGACTTAATCATGTTTCCTTTTATAATCTGCTACTTTTGACATAGAGGACGACTATGTAAAATCTCTAGCAGTGATAGTGTTTTCAAAAAACAAGGAATCGATCTCTTAAGCATAAAAATGGATGTCACAGAATTTTAGACTTTTAGTTCAGTTCTGGCTCCTAGGTGTTTTGTAAGTTAGACAATTCAGAAAATTAGACATTTACACAGAAATCTGGATGTCTGGACTTTCTTGACTAGTGGTGGTGGGGATATCTAGTAACATTTAGCCCCCATTCCTACATAGCATCAGTCATGGAAGCAAAGTAGCAAAAAAGAAAAACTGCTTTTTTTGCAGTAAGGTTTGGATGCCTTAGTTAGTCACAGAACCTCCTAGACCCATATCATTCACGACTAGTGGCCTTACTGCTATGGGCATCTGAATGTGTGACTTATATTTCTGTCAAAATGAAAATCAGTTTGACAGTTTTGGCAGACCCAGCTAACTTATGTCACAGCAGGTTACGCTGCTTTTTGTAGTCATTAGTCACTTAGATTGTTTAGGAGTGGGATCGACTTTAAGCTGACACTTGTTTCACTCTATTGACTCACTTTTACTTTGATTTTGAGACTAACTTTGCTCTCTGTGCTTCAGGTTTTCAGATTACTAAACTTATTGTAGAGGAACCTGAGTTTAACTCAGTGAAGGTAAACCTGCCAATAATTCGAAATTCTGGGACACTCGGCACTGTTACTGTTCAGTGGGTTGCCACCATTAATGGACAGCTTGCTACTGGCGACCTGCGAGTTGTCTCAGGTAATGTGACCTTTGCCCCTGGGGAAACCATTCAAACCTTGTTGTTAGAGATCCTGGCTGACGACGTTCCGGAGATTGAAGAGGTGAGAGGAATGGCTAGTATAGATGACACTATAAATCATATTTGTCTTCTAGTGAACTAGAACAGATGGCTGTGCTGCTATTGTGAAATTTATAGAGAATGTCAGCAAAAAGAAGAACATTTTAAAACTAACTCTTGTACACATGTCAGTTTACTAGTATGAGATTGCTTTTGTATTACATTGTAGAGTTCAGTAATTTGGTTAAATGACTAAGCATGTATTCATCTCATAATTTTACAAGGTTGCTCCATAGTAACTCATCAATTTTTGTGTCTACATTACCTTTGCCTTAAGTATGGGCCAATCAGTCTTAGTTAAATGTAGATTTTCAACTAATTAGTTCATATTTATTCTCTAGCTCTCGAGAATTTATTATATGACAAATACAATGCAGATAGAGCTGCTTGATATTTATCTTTCATGATGAAGAAGCAAGGTGGCAAATAAAATAATCTTAGTAGGGAATCTGGCTCACTAATGCATACTGACAGAAAGATCATTTTATTTTATGAAATTCAAGTATTAAAGTCTAGATCTCATAAAGTTACTTTTGGTAGTAATTAAACTTTAATAGTATCAAATTATCATGGAAGAGAGGTCCGTAAAGTTTCATTTGAATGCCAACTGTTTCACTATTCACTTCTAAAATAATAGATATTAGTACACATAAAACATTTTTTGTTTCTCTTTAAATTTTGTCCTTCTGATGTGTTCTTTGTTTCAAATGCCAAAATTTCAATCTATGATGATAACTGTACATAACAATATATGCTTGCCTGAAATAAAAAAGGACAAAAAAGTATATACTTGAAATAATAGAGATATTAAAATTGATTCACAAACGTGTATAACTTTAACATTAAGGAACATAAATAGCCTGCATTTACGTCTAATCACTCTCTATTACTAGAAGTTGATGATTGACTATTTTGTTACTTGTTGAGTTTGTAAATATAATGGGGATGTTTGAGAACAGTTACATTTTATTTTGATCTTGTATATATGTGTATATTTGATTTCTCCACCCCTGCATCACTCTTTTTCTAATTTCAGACCTGGGATTCTATTAAGGAAGTTTTCACTGTATTTCTAGGTTATCGAAGTACAACTAACTGATGCCTCTGGTGGAGGTACTATTGGGTTAGATCAAGTGGCAAATGTTATTATTCCTGCCAATGATAATCCCTATGGTACAGTAGCCTTTGTTCATTCGGTTTATCGTGTTCAAGAGCCTCTGGAGAGAAGTTCCTGTGCTAACATAACTGTCAGGCGAAGGTATATGAGATGGCTACTTGCAAATGTGGGGGTGTTGGGACTTGGGTGGGGAAAGCATCTCGTACCATTAGATAGTTTAGGTTTGTGGGTAGTCTGTAACATGAATTATTTTATTGGTTATCTAATGAAGTGTGCCTATTAATATAAAGAACCCATTAGCTGTAGCATACCTATTGCTACATCATTGTCCATCATTTAGCATGCATTCTAGACATTCCTTGTTTTAACCTATGACTTGTTTGAATTAGAACTTAAATATACCTACTTGCTAAAGTAAGGCATACTCAGATCCTGTATGAAGTGGTTAATTTTCAGGTTTTATTTTTTCTGCAAAATTCTGTGAGAAGTAACTGCATACAGTTAACTTCTATGAACTTCTTCAGAAGCAGAAAATAAGTGGTTTGGGGTCTTGTGGCAAGTAATTACATTTCTTCAGAAATGTACTCACGCTGTTATCATTGTTCCTTTGTTTCTGTGAAATCTAGTCTTGAAAATTTTCTAATTATTGATAATTCTGAAGTGGATACTATTTGCATACTTTGCAAAATATTTTCATAGCTTGGTTAAAGATAAGTATTGTTTGATTAAAAACTAGTAGATATCTTTACATGTGAAGACAAATGTTGAAAGGCAAATATATTGACAAATACGGTTTTATTCATACTAGTCCATTATACACTTAAAAAGTGAAAGCTGCTATCAGCATTTCTCTTCCTTATAGGTAGTCCACATTGCTTTGAATGCGTAACCTGTTTTTTAATTCTCCATGTTTTTAGCGGAGGGCATTTTGGTCGACTGTTGCTGTTCTACAGCACTTCTGATGTTGATGTAGTGACTCTTGCAGTTGAGGAAGGTCAAGATTTACTGTCTTACTATGAGCCTCCAACTCAAGGAGCACCTGACCTGCTGTGGAGAACTTGGGTGAATGTCTCTGAAGTAAAGGAACCCCAGTATACCTGTGCCTCTTTGTGCCTCAGAGAACATGCATGTTCATCATTCTCATTTCTAAATGCTTCTGAGGGTCCTCAATGCTTTTGGATGACATCATGGATCAGCCCAACTCTTAACAACTCAGACTTCTGGACCTACAGGAAAAACACGACCAGGGTAGCATCTCTTTTCAGCAGTCAGGCTGTGGCTGGCAGTGACTATGAGCCTGTGGCGAGACAGTGGGCAATAATGCTGGAAGGTGATGAGTTTGCAAATCTCACAGTCTCTATTCTTCCTGACGATGTCCCAGAGATGGATGAGAGTTTCCTAATTTCTCTTGTTGAGGTTCACCTTATGAACATCACAGCCAGTTTTAATAACCAGCCAACTATAGGCGAGCCAAATACTTCAACAGTTGTCATAGCATTAAATGGTGATGCCTTTGGTGTGTTTGTGATCTACAGTATCAGTCCCAATTCCTCAGAAGATGGCTTATATGTTGAAGTTCAGGAGTATCCCCAAACCACAGTGGAGCTGATGATCCATAGGACAGGGGGAAGCCTAGGTCAAGTGACAGTTGAATGGCGTGTCGTTGGTGGAACAGCTACTGAAGGTTTAGATTTTATAGGTGCTGGAGACATTCTCACTTTTGCTGAAGGTAAGTGTTGGTTCTAAATGGATTTTTATTCCACCTGGTAAAGTTGTCATAGTCACATTTTATGATAGTGCTCTTAAGAATTCTTACTTTGAATATTCTTTACATGAAAAAATATGGCTTTGAAAAAGGATAGACATTTACTTAGCTTGTTCTTTACATGACATGTAGCCTGGCACACCCCTGTTTATGTATCTTTTCAAGAGATTTTTTATGAAAGTTGTAACTTTATTTCTTTATATGACATAACAATGGCTTTCAGAACAGAGGCCACTCTGGACAAGTTCTGATTTTGTAAGGAAAGTATAAGAATGAGCCAAGTATCTACAAACAACCTATGTGTAATAAACATTGGTAGCTAGAGAAATAATTATTAACTGGGAGGATTTTTAATATTCATTGGACAAATCAGGGTAAATCATCAATGAAAATAATTTCTAAATATAAATACCATAAACTTTGATTTAATTAATTTTATTTTGTTTTTACTAAAGTAACATTGATTTAAAAATTATATAGCTTTCATGTGTATAGATGCACACATGTGTATATGCCAGATGCCACCAAAGTCCAGAGACTTCATATTAAACTAAACCTATGATCTTTTTATAATGTTCTTCTTACTCTTGTTTGGGATCAGTTTTATACATTTTAATTAGCAATAAGTTATATGTAACTTGACCAACAGATCAGAATTAGGGTCAGGTTCACTGGTGCTTTTTTCCCCCCAGAGTTGGTTGAATAATCTTATATTTAAACATTTGAAAAACACATGTGCATAAGATAATCCTCTTGGTGGAAAAAAAGTTTGTTGAGGTCATTGTTTGAATTCTTAATTGAACTAAGTAGACTCCATTCAGTTTTTTTAATAGTCTTTTTCTGAGGATATACAACTTCAGGATATAAAAAAAAAAATGAAGGCAATGTTACTTACAATTTTCATTACCTCTTTTCTTAATATCTACCCTTTTTTTGGAAAGCTGTTGGAGATGTTGACACATTTGTAACATTTTTATGAATGATCTAATATACATGTTCTAGAGTTACTTTTTTAAAAAAAAGATTTATTTATTTATGCATACAGAATTGGGGTACAGGCCAGAGGTGCATGGGCAGTGAGAAGATTCACCAGAGGCAGAGTGGGGAGCAGAACAGGCAGATCAACGAGTACACCACTGAGGGGAGCAGCAGGCGGGTCAGGAGAGGTCTGCCGCATCATGTGGTCACCTCCGGGGCAGGAGGGGTTCGAACTCATAAGGAAGTGGCTTAAGCTTCTTAGTGTTGTGCTTTAACCTGCTGCGGCACCAGGGAGGGCCCTAGAGTTAATTTTAAAAAATGGTAGGAAGTATTTCTATATAGTTATTGTCTGGTAATACTTTTGAGAAAAATGGAACTTGATCTGTGGAGGGCATGCAGATGGTAATTGGTAAGCTTTCCCCCCTATTTTGAAGGAAATAGTGAAAATTAAATGAGGAGGGAATGGAGATAAAATATTTAAGTTAGACTTTCCATTGGCTTTTATAACTACAAAGAAAGTTCTCATAGCAAGGAATAGCATTATACAGATTATCTTGAATTGCAACAATGACTGTTTTATAGACAATGTGGACTCATAGATAATGTACTCTCTTGAGGCAGTCTTGTTACTGTGAGTTGATAAAACTGCAACAGAGTCACAAGAGAGAACATGTATTTTTATTGCCTTTTTTTCACCCTTTCCTCACCTATCCAAAATGTAGCAAGGAAAAGTATGGGGGTCACCATAAGTTGAACATCAGATGCATAGTATTGAGTTTACACATATTGAGTGGGTCCCTGTCTATTGGGGTCCTAGAACAAACTGCAAAATTCTTAAACCCTTGTTATTTTCACACATCCCTTTGAATTCTGCTTCTGCCTTATTTATTGCCCCATATCCTGGAAAACCCTATTTGATGATGTCATCTCATCACCTAGGCTCACTTCATTCAGGCTAATTGTTCTGCCCAGAATATGCTATTCCTTTTTTTATTCCAACTGTGACCACCATCCCTACATGTTCCTGGTTTGTCAGGGTGGTATTGGCTTGATTAGCTTTGAAGGAGGTACAAGCTTATGCCACTCACAGCAATACCAAAATGAGATTCTATTATCCTAGTGGTGGAGGCAGGGGGAGTTGTTTATAAGCAGCTCTTTCCCTAGCTATATCATTGTTTAGTATGGTCTGGTAATAAAACCATGATTCTTTCAAATAATTCTACCTCTTTTCCATAATTCAGAATGTCCTTTTCTACAATCTGACCACATTAATGAAATTCTGCAGTGCTTCATATGCGAAAGGATATGTGATAGTGGATAACATTTTCTTTTTTTTTTTTTAAGATTTATTTATTTATTCATATAGAACTGGGGTACAGGCCAGAGATGCGGAGGGTGAGAGGATTCACCAGAGACAGAGTGGGGAGCAGAACAGGCAGATCGACAAAGTACACTGCTAAGGGGAGCAGCAGGCGGGTCAGGAGAGGTGTGCTTCACCATGTGGATCTCCTCCCTGGCAGGCGGGAATCGAACTCATGTGGAAGTAGCTTAAGCTTCTTAGTGCTGTGCTTTAACCTGCTGTGCCACCAGGGAGGGCCTATAACATTTACTTTTAGTATCACTAATATTACTGACGATATTGAACCAAGATAATTAAATTGCGTATTTTTATTGGACTTTAAAATTTTGGGATGTTTTTGAATTCTCTGATTTTGTCCCCTTGGCTTTTACCTCCCCTCCCCCTGTTTTAATAGGTGAAACCAAGAAGATAGCCATCCTAACCATTTTGGATGATTCTGATCCAGAGGATGATGAAAGTATCATAGTTAGCTTGGTGTACACTGAAGGTGGAAGTAGAATTTTGCCCAGTTCCGACACTGTTAAAGTAAACATATTGGCCAATGACAATGTGGCAGGAATTGTTAGCTTTCAGACATCTTCCAGATCTGTTATAGGTCATGAAGGTGGGTTCTTTTCTTTGTTGAGCACATTCGTTCTCTTTTCTACAGATGTCATTTAAAGTCTAAAGGTTTTTTTTTTTTTTTCCTTGTTATTTTGCAAAGCTGTGTATGCTCATGAGCATGGAACTTGCTTGGGAGAGGGCTATACTGTGATATGTTTCATTTTTAAGAGCCTTGCAGATTGATGCAGTGTTCTAGTTTGCTACTCCTTACTTTTAGGTTTTTTTTTTTTTTAGAGATTAATGAAACCTGGGATGTTCAGTTTTCTCATCTGTTTAGTGATGGGAAACATTATTTAATTCATAAATTTCTTTGTCTTGATTGAGTGACCTTTATGTAAAGTGCTTAGCGAATTTCATGACAAATGTATACAGCTCTTTGGGAGCTATTGATATTAAATAATAAGACACTGGATTCTTATTTAAAACAAATGGTAATTTGTAATATCAACAGCTTAACTACTTGGATTTTGAATAAGGTGCCAAATTAAACAAATTATACATTTTTTTTCTTGAAAAGCAATTAACTCTTGGGGTCTGAATATTCCATAATATATGTAATATCTTGTATACATTGATTTTTATAGTAGTGTTTTTGTCTTTGAAGACGCTTAGAGAACATATATTTCACTGAAACTTGTAATTAGAAGAAAATAATTGTACCTCTGTATTAGGAAATGCAAAGGATTTAGAGCACACACATTGTTTTCTGTTTGATAGCAGAAGTAAACAGATTTAGTGACCTGACTCTCATAGAGCTAGTCAGTAGCTGTGCTGAAAAATGGGTGCATTTTAGCATCCATCATGTTTTTAACTTATCCCCAAATTGCATGTTTCTTTACTTACTCAGTATCTGAGACCTCTTCCCAGCACCCTTTGATTATATATATATTTTTTAGAATCTCACACTTTGGCAATTGTAAGTAAAAATGACTAACGAGTTGCCCTACATTCAAACTAAAGACAAACCAACTCTCAGATTATTTTTAATTAGTAAAATAATTTTTAATTTAATACAAATAAAAAGGAAATACAAATATTAAAGGAAGGTAATCTTAATGATTACTACAGCATGACATTTACTGTATTTTTTCACATGCCAGATATTTGACATCCAATGTTTCATTTGATTTTTAACAACGGTGTTATAAAATGATTGCTGTAGTGTATTAGCATTTCACATCAGGAAACAAAGTTTTAGAGAAATGAACAGTTAGTTACAGTGGAACTTAAACCCAAAGCTGTGTGAATCTGTAGCCCATGCCATTAAGGGGCTCTGTGAGACAAGATTTTGTTTTGCTTGAATTCACATCTGCCTCACAACTTGACAATTCAGTAACCTTTGGTAAATATTTCAAGTGATTCGAATCAGCATTAATTAATTTGAATAACATTTATGTAAGAAAAGAAAATTAGTGAGAGAATCTGACTCTCAGATTTGGGTGGACACTACATTTTTTTTATCTATTTATTGATTTTTAGACCTAGTAGTTGAAGTTAGGGAAATCAGACCTTTGTGGATAGACGTTGTGCAGGAGAGCCATGTGAACTCTAGGACAAGGTGATAAGAAGGGAAGATCTGAGAGGGGGAGAGAGCAGCCTCTCCCGGAGAAGTGGGGAAGGGGCCACGATGAAAGTGCAAGTTTCATTATTTGTCAGAAAAAAGTAATTAATATATTTTACACTGGCAGGAGAGCCACTGAAGTTAGAATCCTATATGCACTAAAGGTTATGGTAGTAACTGTAGAGAATTTTTTTTTTTAAAGATTTATTTATTTGTGCATACAGAACTGGGGTACAGGCCAGAGATGCGGAGGGTGAGAGGCTTCACCAGAGACAGAGTGGGGAGCAGAACAGGCAGATCAACGAAGTACACTGCTGAGGGGAGCAGCGGGCGGGTCAGGAGAGGTCTGCCATGCCATGTGGTCACCTCCGGGGCAGGCGGGAATCGAACTCATGCGGAGGTGGCTTTAGCTTCTCAGTGCTGTGCTTTAACCCGCTGCGCCACAAGGGAGGGCCGTAACTGTAGAGAATTTTAAAAGAACTTGGGATTGAATGCACATACCTAAGGTTGACAAAAGGACGGGACATAGAGGCCTTTCTGCAGTGCCCTGCACAGTATGGTCCTCATGTGGGTGCCCCAGAGTTCGCCACTGGTTTGTGATACTCAGAAATTGAAATAACTTTTCTTGAATGTATAATAATTCCATTTTGCTGTGGTGGCCAAGTGATCTCTGCTGCAGACATATTTCACTTTTGTGGTTTAGAAAATTTGCTGCCTAACTTCTGTAGTTAAGCATTTTATTGTATTTTATGAAAATATCCATCTAGGATAGATTAGGGCAAACAAACAAGAACTAATTAGTCACTGCATTAAGTGTTAGAGCACTGCCTTATGAAGTAATCTGCTTGTTGGCTGTGATAGCAAGAAAAAAGAATAACTGGTGAGAACAGATTACATTGGAATATTTTGGATTTGGATTTGCTGAAAAAATATAGGAAAGAAAACAGAAGACAAGAATAAAACAGTTGTGGTATGGAGTGTGTAAGTAAGATGATGGATCAAGAAGGAATAAAGGGGGGACTCAGAAATAGACTGGGTAGGTGACTTTCAATAATATGATGGACATTTTTTTTTTTTAATTCAGAAGAATTCAGGTGTCCTGGATCTAACTTAAGGGGTTTTAACTTAGCTAGTGTCATGGAAGTATACCCTGGGTGTAGTCAGGCAGTGATGGGTGGGGTAGAGGGCTTTGAGGAGACTTAAGCTTTAACTGCTGGGCACATCATCTTGGAGAAGTTGTAGACTTTGGTACCTTTGCTGGGCAGTGTTAATTGGGAAAACAGATTGTGGTCTTCATAGTTTTCAACAACTACATATGGGCAGGATATATGCAAGGAGGAGAAAAAACTGTAGCAACTAAAACAAATGGTCTAAATGTATTATGGGTTAAGAAAATATCTGCATTAGCAGAGTAATCTAACAATGTGTTTGATACAGGAAAGAAAACAGCTAATTACTTTCACTACCTAAGTGCCTCTTAAAATTTCACATTTAGTAAATAAAATTTAGGGAGCTTTTTTTTTTTTCCTTTACTTTCCTTACAGGCTGAGGTCCTTTCCTAATATCTAACTTAATTTTCTTTTTTTCCAAAAACATACTAGGCCTTGAGAATTCAGTATTTTGTATGTGTATTTTTTGTATTAACATGAAAATTGCATAGGGAAAGTGTTGAGTATAAGCTTACTAAGAGGAATTAATGATGAAACTTCATGGTGATTCTACAAAGATAACTGCTAAACAAACCATAAGGAAGTCACATCATATGGTTTTTGTGTTAGCATTGCTTTTGGTCTAGTGTTGGAGGTTTGCTTAGGTGAACAGATGTAAAGTGTGGATATGCTGAACTTCCAGTTCTAGAATGCTTTCTTTGATCCACAGGGAAGAATTGCCCTGATAATTAGCAATATATTCAGTTTTGCAGAATTATATTTCCCTGATTTTTTTTTTTTTTTGTCTTAGAGCAATTGGACAGATGCCCAGGGATAAGTATTACTTTCTTTCAAATGTAATGGGCAGAATTTAAAAATATGGGTCAATAGATTTTCACTGTGGTTGCAAACTGCATAAATGTGCATGGTATAAATCTGTTATTTTGCAGAGTCACTTAACAGTAGCATCATAATCATGTCATGTTCAAAGGGTTTAATTTTTTCCCTTTCTCAAAGACTGCATGTATCATTTCAGGCAAGGAATGTGATTATTATAAAAATCATATAGAATTGTTATATGAGAAGCATTCTACTTTTTCCCTTATGTCTTCGTATTGAAAGTTCATGTACTACATTATGTATATTCCTGTATTTATTTTAAGCCACTTTCTATTTTTTATAGAGGGCAATAAATTTGGATAGTGCATGTACACATGTATAATTGTATACATGGCTCTATTTACATGGCTCTATTTAAATGCTTCTTGTACTTATAGTTTTTTCTTATTTTTATATACCTGACAGGCCTTTACCATTGTGAAAAGAATTTTGGTTTGTGTTGGGAATAAGTTGACAAAACTCCTCATGGTGATTTTAAAGCATTTAACTTTCTTATTCATTACCTGCCAGGTCTAGACCCTGTGTGAGAGCTCCTCCTTGGAGTGAAATGTACCCCTGGCTTCTGTCAACTCTTTGGGTTTTTTATCATGATTGTCTTTCAGAAAAGCAGGCAGATGCTTTGGTGGCTGGGTGTGGCCTTCTTAGGTCTTCATCCTGGGCAAAAACAAGAAGGCAGTGCAGTGCCTCCTGAAATGCATGTTGTGAAGATTATAACGTGCCCTCTCCAGCACTTTTTGTCTGTCCTTCCCCTTGTATTTAGAAGGCTAAGCACTAAGTTTTCCTGTTCCTCTGACTGTTCTTGGACTCCTCATCGATGTAGCATGTAATTGTGGGATTTTAAAATGGACTTGGTTCATGGGAGTTCTGCCTTACAGAGGCAAAGTTAATGCCTTTCCTTCATTATTAGGAAAATTTTCACAACATGCAGTGAACATGATTTGCAGTTAGCTTGCATTTAAGGAATACTTTACCTTTTATTGATGTGTTGTTTCAAATTGTGTTTTGCAGTATTTTTTTTGCAAATTACTGCTGTGATAACTCATTAAAATTTTCGATGTTATTAAGTGGTATTAGATTTTGAATATTTTAAATGCAGTGAACTTGTAGGAGGATTTTCACTTTTTCTCTCCTAAGCAATCTGACCTTTTTTAAAAAGATTTATTTATTTGTGCATACAGAACTGGGGTACAGGCCAGAGACTTAGGGGTGGCGAGAGGCTTCACCAGAGACAGAGTGGAAGCAGAACAGGCAGATCAACAAAGTACACTGCCGAGGGGAGCAGCGGGCGGGTCAGGAGAGGTCTGCCATGCCATGTGGTCACCTCCGGGGCAGGCAGGATTGCACTCATGCTGAAGTGGCTTTAGCTTCTTAGTGCTGTGCTTTAACCCGCTGCGCCACCAGGGAGGGCCCAGCAGCCTGACCTTTTTAATGATGTAGCTATTCCCAAATCTTTATGTACAATTTTGCCTCCATATTTTATTAAATTTACAAGTTCCCCGGCCCTCCCTGGTGGCACAGCGGGTTAAAGCACTGCACTGAGAAGCTTAAGCCACTTCTGCATGAGTTCGATTCCCGCCTGCCCCGGAGGTGACCACATGGCGTGGCAGACCTCTCCTGACCCGCCCGCTGCTCCCCTCAGCAGTGTACTTCGTTGATCTGCCTGTTCTGCTCCCACTCTGTCTCTGGTGAATCCTCTCACCCTCCACATCTCTGGCCTATACCCCAGTTCTGTATAAATAAATAAATACATCTTAAAAAAAAATTTACAAGTTCCCCTTGAACATGGATTTTTATTGCTTTATTTTTGTCTTCTTGCTACTTATTACCTTTGCATTTTTAGCCTTTAATCAAGCTTCTATACTTTTTGAAGTATTAGTAGGTATATGACTTAAAACCACGACTTTATATAAACTCTTTTATTGTGACACCAGAAAAGACTGTAGTTGAAATAGTCTAGTACCTCTAAGACCCTCTTTTTTTTTTTTTTTTCCCTGTAATTACTCTGGCTGTTCGATACAAACCAGTTCTACAAGGAATTCTGCATGTGCACAACAGAGACTCCAGGGTTTTGTAGTAGGGTCAATACTCACTCATATGAGTTATTCAAGTGTGAAATCTTAAATTTTACGGTAGCCATTATGGTTGGTTGCACAATCTTTTGGTTATAATCTAACCTGATCTGATTCCTAATGAGCGGTCTCTGTTTTTTGAAAAAGCAAGACGTAGTCCACTATTGTGTAATGGTGACTAAAATTGTTCTGGTACTGAGCAGTTACAAAAATGTACATATTGAATGTTGAGGTGTTCAGCGAAATCTTATTTAAAAGTCTTTCTGGTGATTCAGCTTTCTTATATCCACCATTGTCCCAGAATAATTCACTGTATTAAAGTTGTTTGTGCTTAAGTTTAGTATGGAAATTGTTTTTTAGTTATTGAAATGAATGTCACTTGAAAAATTAGTCAATGATACCTTAATTTAAAGAAACTTATTTTAGTGATGCTTGTTTAGTTTTATTATGTTAAGAAATAAAAAACAAAACAAAACTGTGGTCTCTTAATATTTGAAAAGGCTGTTTATTTTACTAGTTTACTTGTTCAGGAATTGTCAGAAGTACTTACTTTTTGATAACAGTATAGTGCCATTTCTACTGAATATGCATGGTTTCAAATACATATCTCTGCTGTAGAATGTGAATAAGGATGCATTCTTTTGAAGCCTTTTCAGCATCATTCCATGTATCTTTTCATAATTCTTTTTTTGTGATGTAGGTAGCTAGTATACATACCTTAATTGTGTGCATCACATTCATCACAGAGCAGATTTTCAGCAGGCACCTATGTGGCTATTAGCAATATTCCCTAGGTGCTTACTTTCCACTTAAGCAATTTAAAGAAGTGGCTATTGGGGTATCCTTCAGTAGGAAGCGGAGTTACCCAGGGAGGATCACTGTAACTTTGGTTAAGTTACAGAAGTTGATGCAGATTTCACACCTTTCCTTTGTATTTCTCTTTGTAAAACAAAATCATTGATGGTATATGTAAGTTACAATCTAAAGAAATGTGATTTTCAGGTATTTGCAAGCATTTTTATGCATGCATTGTGTAAAATCACATTGTCTGTCAGTGTAAGGAATTTGTTTCCTTTTGAGAAGTGAAGGAAGAAGTTACTTGTGTTATTACTTTATTACTAATTTTACCCATGAGTACTTCATTATTGTTTTGAATTTACAGAACACTTATGTTCTGGTGCATGTTTTGGAGTGTATCAAAGTTTGTGTTTCTCATTTTAGCATGTGCTTCTATAACTTTTACATACTAAACGTCCTGAAGTTCTACTAAATGGAATTATTTAGATGTGAGATCCCTGTGTTAATAAATAATAAGCATGTTTAAGGTTTCTAGAAATTCAAAATGGAACAGCTCTGTAATATTCTTGGAAAAGGTACTATGCAATGGTTGCATGTTTGGAGTTTGGGTTTTGTTGAGTTTAGATATTACATTCATTTTCCATTGAGCATTTATTCAGTCTGTGTTTCTCATTTGCAGGGGAACTTTTGCGGTTCCATGTGATAAGAACACCCCCTGGTCGAGGGAATATTACTGTTAATTGGAAAATTATTGGGCAAAATCTCAAACACAATTTTGATAATCTCACTGGACAACTCTTTTTTCCTGAGGTAATCCCACTAAGCTTTACCACAAATATCAAAGGAAATGTACGTGAGAGTAGAATGACTGTGTAACACAGGTTAAGGGAGAGTGATGGAAGGACACTTTCGTGGAAAGCTGAGGGGAGAAGATTGTTTAAATGAAGGCTTCGTAAGACTCTAGGAAGGGTCTGTTTTTCTACATGTGCTTCATTGGGTCTCCTTTAAGGCACCCAAAAATGCTGAATTAGCATTTGAGAGCAGTCCTCTTGCCTCTCCCCTGCTGCTCACAGCTGTTGGCAGTGTGTCACCCTGAAGCTGGTGAATTGTGTATGTCCCTCTTACCTTACTCTTTACTGCCTTGGAACTTGCCATGCACAGCAACAGCAATAAATTTCTTAAAAATGTCTTTTCATGCCCAGTGTACACCCACTATATATGTTAGGTTCTATTTAGAGGCTCTTTCAGGTAAGTTGAAAGATGAATGCTGACAAACAACTTTATAAAATTGCATTTATCGTAACTATCCCTCTCTTATCTATACTCACTTAGTATTTGTTCTTTTTTGGTGATGTGTTAATTCTTTCTTCTCTGCATTTGTACTGCTGGCCTTAATATATATACACAAATGTGTGTGTGTGTGTGTGTGTGTGTGTGTGTGTGTGTGAATAATTGATAAAGTCAATAAAAGCAGGAGATAGTTTGTATTCATGAATTTTTTGTTTGACATATAGGGGTCGTTGAATCAAACCATATTGGTGCATTTGTTGGATGACAACATTCCTGAAGAGAAAGAAGTATACCAAGTCATTCTGTATGATATCAGAACACAAGGTAATTCAGAATTCAGTTCTAAATATTACTAGTTCATTATTCTTACCAGAAAAGGTAAAGCTGCTATCTACATCTAACTATTAGAAGCATGCAAATTGAAAAAAAGTTACCCCATAAAAATCTTCGATCCAAAAACCATCAGCTCAGGATCTTTCTGAACTTAGAGAAAACCTCTAAGATTTTAAAAACTATTTTCTCATGGAATAAAATACATCTTCAAAAGAACTTTTTCTGAAATTTTTAGACTAGTAGACCAATTTAATTTTGAAACAATTACATGCATAATTCAAATGTAATAATTTTTGAACAAATTATCTGGCTACTTACCTCAGTTTCCATTCAATTTCTGTAATTCAGGTGGCCAGTATAGCAAATGACAGATGTGTCAAAACATATGCAAAAACATTCTTGATTGCTAGCTAGAAAAAGAAAACTAAAATGCAGGTGTCTTCTCAGCTTGAAGGCTTCTATGCCAGAAGTAAACAGAATGGGTCACTTTTCGGATATTTCATGTGTTTCATGTGAATGTATATTATATTTTAAGTATTTGGAAGTTCGTGACAAAACACTGTTCCATTTCTTCTGGTCCCTGCCATTTTTAGGAATTCCATCAGCAGGACAAGCTCTGCTTGATGCCCAAGGATATGCAGCTGTCCTGACAGTAGAAGCCAGTGATGAACCACATGGAGTTTTAAATTTTGCCCTTTCATCAAGATTTGTTTTACTCCAGGAGGCTAACATAACATTCCAGCTTTTTATCAACAGAGAATTTGGATCTCTAGGTTTGTTTTACTCTGGAATGAATGGAATTTTCAAGCAGGTGCTTTTTAAAATATTTGATTTGTCTGTATAAAAGCCATTGCTAAAATCAGTCAAGGACAGAATATGAAATTTAATACTCGCTAATTGGTGATGGGACTTAAGACTTTATGTTGAAAGGATGAAAATGAATTATCATTGTCACAACATACTATGTAATAAGCAACCCAAACGTCTCCACAGCATATAATAATATGCTGGCTGTGCATCTTCTACCCAAGGCTGGACTTGGTGAAGAGTGGCACTACCCACATAGATCTCTCATCCTTCTCCCAAGACAAGCATAGGCACAATAAAACAAGCGAAAATCATGCCCGACTCCCCGTGAGCTGTAGACTCAGAGCTAATTCATCATCACTGTTCCCCTGTACTGTCATCCAGAGCTCGTCAAACAGGAACACTCAGGCTGAGGCAGGGCAGTGTGCCTTGCCCAAAGTGAAATGTTACATGATCAAGGCCAAGGATATAGGAGTGTGAAGCAAATGTGTTCACTTGGGACAAGTTACCATTGGTGCTTTTTAGGAAATACAAGAGGCTCATGAGATGCTTTAAAACTTTTGAGTAATCAGAAACTCTCTTCCCAACTGCTTTGATTAGGAGCTATCAATGTCACATATACCACAGTTCCTGGAATGTTGAGTTTAAAGAACCAAACAGAAGGAAACTTAGCTGAGCCAGGTGTTGACTTTGTCTCGGTAGTTGGCTCTCTGATTTTGGAAGAAGGGGAAACAGCAGCACCCATCAATATTACGATACTGGAGGTAAAATTCACGTTATTTTGCTTTAATGTGTTCAACTTGAATAACCACATTCTAGTGCCTTTATATTACTACATTCACTTGTTTTTTTTTTTGTTTGTTTGTTTTTGTTTTTAAGCCACATATGCGTTTTGGTTCTCACCTAGATGGGCTGGTTGCATATTTTACTATGGAAACATTTTGTGCTAAAGAGAATTTTTTTTAGGGCAGTCCCCTTAGAATGCCATTGCCCTAAGAGACTCCAAAGAGATATTTTGATTACTCCGAAGAATTTAATGGGCCAGCAAACCCCTGTAGGTCAGTGTCTTTGTTTTTAGGACTGCTTCAATTAGAAAAACAGTGAGGAATTCACTGGAGTCAAGCTTAAAGTAATCATTGGGAGCTGAAATTGCATTTTAAATGATTTTTCATATTGTGAAATCTCCTATTTTGGGACTTAAAAGTGTTACAGCTACCAAAATACATTTCTAAGAAATTTATGAAAATAGTGGGGAGTGTGGGATTAGAAAGAGAAAATGCCTGGGAAAAATAATTTTCAAGAACTATATGTTTTGGGAGTTTTATTTTAAGAGACTTCATTTTCTCAGAAGGCCTTTACTTTTAGAAAGTTGTACATATTATAAACCATCCTTCATCAGAATCAGTAACTTATTTTGCTAGCTACCATGTACTATGAGCTAATGTAAAATACTATGAGAGCTCTGAATCCATAAGCTAAAGGTGATATGTCAGTATGTGACATACAGCTCAAGATTGGTAAAATGTTAAGGTAAGTCACCTTTTTCATGTATATAACCTGTGAATACCACTGAATAAAACTTAAGGGGCTATTCTTCCCATCTATTAGTTTTGAAAGTGGAAATTAGCTACCCCTCTTTTCTTTAGTCTTGTTTTACAACGAAGGGGATTTTGCAGTTCTGCTTTTCCTCCTGAGCTCATTACATCCCTTTCCCTGAGTTTCATGACATTATGGTACTGCAGACCTGGGTATAAAAGTCAGCCAGGCCAGGGCAGGGCAGAGCAGTTGCATGGGAGTGGGACAGTTAGGGCGGCTGGTGAAGAGCTCCTGTTAGACCATTGGTTCTGTAGCTCAATTTGGTCTGTATATTTAAGATAAAACTTCGACTGATTTTCCTTTTCTTTTTGCATACGGAAATGTATCTCCATCAAATAAAATGAAGACAGAGTTTGTGTTGCTGTTTATGCACTGATACTATACTGATACTATATGTACGACTCAATTTCTTTCTTTCTTTTTTTTTTTAAAGATTTATTTATTTTTGCATACAGAACTGGGGTACAGGCCAGAGGCTCAGGGGCGGTGAGAGGCTTCACCAGAAACAGAGTGTGGGGAGCAGAACAGGCAGATCGACGAAGTACACTGCTGAAGGGAGCAGCGGGCGGGTCAGCAGAGGTCTGCCACGCCATGTGGTCACCTCCGGGGAAGGCGGGAATCAAACTCATGCAGAAGTGGCTTTAGCTTCTTAGTGCTGTGCTTTAACCCGCTGCGCCACTAGGGAGGGCCCACAACTCAATTTCTAAGTAAACATTGCTGACTGGTAGGTCACTCCTGGCCTGGGTTTGGCTAGTCTCCAAGTTCTGAGCACCTGCCTTTGATGTGGACTAGTGAATAATAATAAACCATTAAAGTTAGCCATCAAGAATAGCTATCCCTATTTAAACACTCTTGGAAGGCCACGTACTACACACATTACTTTTAATCATTATTACAATCCCCAAAGTAGTAAATTCCCCTATTAAAGGTAGTACAGGTACATCGTTAAATAACTCACCTAAAACTATGGAATTTGTTAAGTTTCCTTGACCATGAAGCCTATGTTGTTTTTCTGGTATAATTTTATCCCTTATTCTGAATGCTATTAAAGTAACATTAAATCTGTGAGCAAAATGTTAGGTTTGTATGGTTCTAGAGTTGGTTTACTTATTGGTATCGGTAAAAAAATGATGTAATATTAGTGATGCCATAGGGTTGAACTTAATAATTCATGCCCCTACCAGGGGTGAGGTTAATACTGTTAAGTTTTTTAAAATTTAAATCTCTTCTACTTTTTCATATTTTGCATTCTTTACACTTATGTAAACATCTCTATTAATAAGATAATTAAAAAAACTTGTGAGAGGTGATTACTTTAATATGATAATTGTAGAGATCTAAATGAATGCAATTTTTGCAGGATGATATACCAGAACTAGAAGAATATTTCTTTGTGAATTTAACTTACGTTGAACTTATCATGGCTCCTCTAACTTCATTTCCTCCTAGACTAGGTATGATGGCTTTTTTTTCCTTTTCACTTTAAACAAAGTAAAGGCACTTCATTTTTAATCAGAAGTCATTGTGATGTTTGTTGATTTCAGTTGTATGTGAAAATAGAGTGGGCTTTTAAAAATATGTCAATCTAGACATTATCATATATTAGTTGTTCATAGGGTAATTTAAAAAAAAATAGAAATTACTGTGTGATACTTTATAAGTGTTACAACTATTTATAATTAAATTTGTAGTCCCAAAATAGAATTCTTAGGAAGGCATTTTTCTCTTTAAAATTTAATTAGCTATTGTTATTAGCTCTCCAAAGGTATCAGATGATTTTTATATTATCTTAGGTTAACTATTGCTTATTTGTGTTATTTTCTTCTTTTCTGAGCTTTCATTTCTTTTCATGCTTTAGAAAACACTCAGTTAATTCATTACAGACTGAAAGGTAAAACTGGAACCTCAGTACAAATTAATGTAGATTAATACCTCAGTACAAATTAATGTAGATTAATTTCAAGATTTATTCTTTTTAAAAGACAGCTGTTTTCAGTTTAGACATTTAGCTGAGAAATTTTGAAACCTGTGGATGTCACAACTCCTTAGGGGGTGGTGATCAGCAGTGGGGTGATCTGCTCCTCCCCACTGGTTATAGGTGACTTTGGGCAGAGAAGAAATTAGTCTGGGTTAAAAGGCAAGCTTGTGGCCTGAGGAATAAGAGTCCCTCATTTTGAAACTCAGTATAATTGTGTTGAAACTGTCCAAAGAGAATACCCCATCTTTAATGTATTGTTTTAAAAGGTTTCAATTCTTTTGCAAAATAATTCCAATGACTTAGTCTGTTTATCGCAAGTAATTATCATGAGCTGACTATTGTTCAAAGTAGGAAAATTGAGGAAATATTTCATAGCTTTCATTCCAGTATAAGAGGCCATGAGAATGGTTTAGCTTTTGCTCAGTTTTCTGAAACCCCTATTTCCAGTACTTTGTATGCTAGTACTGACCACCCCTACATCTTCCATTTCGCAATGTGGGAGCTCAGACTGAAGCTAAGTCACGGCCCCAACTCCTGCAAGTTGAAATTGGTGGAATGAGACGTCTTGCTCTGTATTGTCTGGTCTGATGGGCACAGATCCTGATTTGTATTGTCCTTGAAATGTGCTCTTCACTCGAACTGTGCTCTCCTCCCTGCTCTCCCACATAAACAGGCCAGGTGTGCTAACTACCCTAAGGTAGTACCCTTGAAATTTAAAAGGTAAAGGACAAACTATTGAAAACAATCCAAAACAAGTAACAGGTTTAGTTAATATTTCCAGACAACATATTGGACTTGATGGCCCAAACACAAAATAATAAGAGATAAGAAACATTTAGTGACCTGTGTATATTCTACTAAACCTCTCCCTATTCTTTCTCAACCATTCCTTCTTTGTTGTTTTCCTCTTTCTTTTTCACAAATGTATTTTTCTCTGTGGCCCTTCTGCTTTTCTCTCATTCATTCCTCTCTCTTCCTCTCCCTCTGTTTGACTGCCTCCTCTTTTCTTTTCCTCTTGAAATAGATTAAAATAATGAAAACAAAACCACAATCTCCAGATGCTTATTTCATACTGTCCTCAGCTGATTAAATTTCTGTCAGTCTTGTTCTTGCTAGCAAGAAGTTTCCTTATTCAGATGTTACAAACATTGGTCTATATTTTCATAAGCAACTTTTGAGTGATAGTGACCATCCCTCTGTTAAGAATTACATTGCATTTATTTAAAAATATTTTTCTGCGCTGTTTCAGATTCCGAGGGCTTGGCTGCACAAATTGTCATTGATGCCAACGATGGTGCAAGGGGCATAATTGAATGGCAGGACAGCAGGTAAGCCTGATGTTGTGAGCAAGCCCTTTTCTGAGCTTCAGATTATTTTCCACCAAGTAAACATCCATGAGGAAAACTTGAATGTGCTCTGTTTTATTATAGGTCCGAAGTAAATGAAACCCAAGGAACCCTGACATTGGTAGCCCACAGGGGCAAAGGGGCTCTTGGCCATGTATCCTTGTTTGTCTATGCCCAGAATTTGGAAGCTCAACTGGGGCTGGATTACATCTTCACCCCGATGGTGGGGCTCAAGATCTACCAAATATCACTTTTACAGATTATTAAAAGATTATTATTACTTCAAAGCTATAGTGCTTTAGGTGCTATAATGCTTTATAGTGCTTTAATAATAAATTCACCTTAAAATAATTCATTAATCTAGACCAGAAGAATTTCAAGTGGTAGAATAATTCTTTCAGTTAAAAAATATAAATTATTTTTTTTGTATTCTAGGGAATATGCTGTATTTTTTTCATTCATTATTTTATAGGAATATGTGATATTCAATGTGTTACTTATCTTTTCACTGTAATATGGGAGAGTGCAATTGTATCAAAGAATTTATATCAGAAAGCCACCCTAACATTTCTAATGCTTGAAAATGCTAACTTATTTTATTTCTTTGTTTTAATTCATTGAATTACCTGTAGTATTTTAAAACACTTTTTGCTTTTGTCTTTTCATGGTTTTTAATCCTTAACCAAACCTTTTCTTCCTGCATAACTTATTTCAACCTAGTTGTCATTTTAAACAGACAGACATGATACAAGAAAGATAAAGGAAAAATCCCTGTGGAAGTTTATTCATATGTGTAAAAACTATGTTTCTTTTCCTATATCCTTTAAAAATCCATAGTATGTATAAATGTAATATTCTCTACTTCTGCTGTTTTGGTCAGATTCTTCATTTTGCTGATGGAGAAAGGCACAAAAATGTTGACATCATGATTCTTGATGATGATATTCCAGAGGGAGATGAAAAATTTCAACTGATTTTAACAAATCCTTCTCCAGGACTCGAGCTGGGCAAAAGTACACTAGGTATCTGAAAATTTCTTATAAATAACTCCAGCTCCTTCATCCTGAATATGTAGGCAGATAAAGGGGGATTGCAGAGTTTTCTATGCATGGAATGAATCATATATTAAGTTAAGCATTTTGAAGTGTTGTGTTAGTTTAACAATGCTTCTAGCCTCTGTGCATGTGTAAATGTGTGTGAAAAAACACTATTAGGTTGGTATCAAAGATAATAGAAAATAACACCCATAGTTATTTTAGGGTTTATTTAGTTTGTAAATTCTTTCCTTTGGGATTGAATTCTCCAGTTTACTGCTTAGCAATAGAAGGAATGAAAGATGGTGTTTTAGCTTCATTTAGTTGCTATAATGTTTCCTTAAAGACTTTAAGTGTGTAGATACCATGGACAGGTCATAGAGTTAAATGTTTTGCTTGGAACAGTAAGTCATTGCTACTAATAGTCACCCTAGTTCTCCTGTTCTGCATCATGCTGACAACTTAGAAAAGGTAAAAACACAGTGACGATGCTTTATGGGCACCACAACTTTAAGACTGGAGCACTCATAAAAAGTCACTATATTCGGGCCCTCCCTGGTGGCGCAGCAGGTTAAAGCACTGCACTGAGAAGCTAAAGCCACTTCACATGAGTTCGATTCCCGCCTGCCCCGGAGGTGACCACATGGCGAGGCAGACCTCTCCTGACCCGCCCGCTGCTGCCCTCAGCAGTGTACTTCGTTGATCTGCCTGTTCTGCTCCCCACTCTGTCCCTGGTGAAGCCTCTCACTGCCCCTGAGCCTCTGACCTGTACCCCAGTTCTGTATGTACAAATAAAATAAATCTTTAAAAAAAAAAAAGTCACTATATTCAGTTCCTTGTAATAGATAAATGAATGGGTTTAGAATAATAGGTATTGACAGACTCTTTAATCTCCCTTTTAGCAATTGGCTGACTGTTCTTTGGGGAATCTTTTAATTAATCTTAGTTTCCTAAGTCATTGGCCTTTATGCTGAAAAAGCTAATTTGTTTTTCTCCTTTTAACTTATACAAAGAATAATTTCACCTATATGTGAATTACTGAAAAAAATGATTGATATTTAGCATACCTACAAATGCTAGCTATCAGACGGTAGAACTGAGGCGCTGAAAGGAGATGAATAGGGGTGGAGAGCAAAAGGTGGAGGAATTCCAAGGCACCTGGGTGGTGGCTGTGGTGTGGTTACATGCAACTGAAGAGGTATAAACCTGTTCCCCTAAATCATATGCATTGCTTTAATCCAATGTTACCACAATAAAAAATAAACAATCAAATACATGATGGGTAGTGAAAATGTATAAGAACTTACAGTAATCTAAGCTTATTTTTGCTTTTATTGCCATATTCCATAGACCTCAGAATCTTTTATCTTGAGACTGTAATCACTGTTTCAAGTTCTGTTATGTCTGAGATGAAATCATTTCACTGTAGAGTGTAGTGGGTTGTACATGAAGGACTCTGGGGATATACATTGTATGTTAAGAATCTTCTGTGAATTAATAATAGAAAACCCTATCAGACTGACTAAAAGATCCTGTTTTGTCTCTTCTTGCCTTTTTTTTTTTTTTTGAGTATTGGTTTTATCCTGAGGCCAGTAATGTTGATTAAGAATCTTCTGTGAATTAATAATAGAAAACCCAATCAGACTGACTAAAGATCCTGTTTTGGCTCTCCTCCTTGCTTCTTTTGAGTATTGGCTTCATCCTGAGGCCAGTGTTTCATGTCACAGAGTGTTGATCTCATCTATTCCTCTTCATTCTTCATGATGGGAAATGGGAAAGAGAGTATATTTACTCTTGTCTTGATCTAACTCTGGTTGAAATTACAAAGATTCCATGCCCACCAACATGAGTAAATGGAAGGAATGTGTTACTGGACTCGGTCAAGTTTACTTTACACTTGTAATTTTCAACTTTCAAATATTAATAAATTCCTCAGAAGAATAATTGCTTTTACAGAGGGTAATTTCTTAAACCATGCTTGATTAATTAACTTTAATATGGTTTCCATGCCTTCATAAAGTATGTTTCTCCACATTTACAAAAGAAATTTTGTTGGCTGTTAACACTTTCAAAAAAAAGTTCTAATGAGTGAAAAATAAGTGGTTATATAGAACATACTTTTCTATACAGGTAGCGAGTTTGACATTGAATACTTGTTTTATCTCTGATAGGTTCTTTATAGCATGTGCTTTTCTCTGGTTTGTGATTTTTTTTTTTAAAGATTTATTTATTTGTACATACAGAACTGGGGTACAGGCCAGAGATGCGGAGGGTGAGAGGATTCACCAGAGACAGAGTGGGGAGCAGAACAGACAGATTGCTGAAGTACACTGCTGAGGGGAGCAGCGGTAGGTCAGGAGAGGTCTGCCCCGCCATGCGGTTGCCTCCGGGGCAGGCAGGAATCAAACTCATGCGGAAGTGGCTTTAGCTTCTTAGTGCTGTGCTTTAACCTGCTGCGCCACCAGGAAGGGCATGGTTTCTGGTTTGTGATTTTTACTTGTCTGTAGAAATATTTTGAAGGCAATCTTTGCTTCCTAACTATTGTAGATAATGTCTTCTAATTTGCCTTTCATCTTTTATTACTGCCTTTTATCACTTATTTTAGTGTCCTATTGTATGAGAACATTTTAAAACCAAGCATTTTCTAGTATTTCTTACCTTTTTCATTTCTAGTGTCTTTTATTTTTTATTGTGGTAATGTTCATTGAGGTAATAGTTTACATTATTGCTTGTGTTTTGAAATAAAGGATTCCTTCCTTCTGCTACTATTACCATAGCACTCCTGGTCTGATTTTAAGTTTTATTTCTGTAGCTCTTCCCATGCTAAATATTTCACTGGATTTGCAATTAATTATTTATTATGTCATGAATTTTTCCACTGGTGTAATATAAAATACGGACAATTTTGTGACCTTAGATTGTATGATCATGCTCTAATATCCCATAAGAAATGGGACATGCATAAGCCAACGCGTTTTTTTTTTTTCAGTGCAAATTTTTTTCTGTGCAGCTATCTGTTCTTTTCTGGATTCTCTTTTGTTCTCTTTGCCTATTCTTGTGCTAATTACAGATTCTTTTATCATTGCCTCAAACTATACTTTGTTACTTTTTAGGCCAAATTTTTTTTTTTTTTGAGTAATGCTCAAATTCTTTCAGTTGTGATAACATTGGGATTCTCCCCATCAGGCATCACCTCCACCACCATAGGGTACTACCACTGAATCACCCCTCATCCACCACCATAGCCCTCTGTGCTTCCTTTTCTCCTTTGTCTCTTCCCAGCAGCCCCCCCCATATTCAGTTCTAAATTCAGTTTTAAAGAGTTAGTTTTTAATATTTTTTCCCTCTACATCATCTCATTTATTCTTTCAAGTGGCCTCTTCCATGTGGACTTGGGAATCAGTGAATGGAGTTCCAAAGAAAACTATTTTGATTGAGGCAAAATACAAATTTTAATTTAGATGGCCTGAACATGATTATAACTTTTTTCCATTTAGAAAGATGATATGCCTTGCTATTAATTTAGATCTTTCATATCACTACTTTAGTTTGTCTCGGGGTTTGCTTTTGAGGGAACACAAAGACTTAGATGGAAGTAGGATGGTGAGAAATGAAGCAGTGAGAAAGAGAGGAAAGCTGATGAAAGAGCTACTAATGAACAGCAGTGTCGGGGGCGCCTGGGCCTGTGCTGCTAGCATTCTTCTGAACAAAGGTCTGGACTGTTCTAGTGAGAAGGAAGGTAACTGTGCCACTCATCCACCAACTCCTATCCCTCATTGTCTGAGAATCACTTTGGGTCTAAATTCCCACTAGCTGTGACCTGACTCCTATTGAGCTGAAGCTGTCCTCAGGTAGAACGAGAAGCTGAAGGCCAAAAGGAGCTGCTGGAGGTGACCAGGAGTGGGCCAGGGGGTAGGGATGAGGCACTGACAGCTTCTGCCATCTCACACAGGGCAGTTTAGTATGCTTCAAATAGGCTTTTATATTTTTTACTTTAATTCCTCCAAGTATTTTTGCTATTATGAATGGTATCCCCTTACTGTTATGTTTTAAAAATAGCTATGCTAATATGTAGTGGTAGAACATTTTTAGCACCATGCTTGGAAGCAGATTCCCTAGCTTTGCTCCCATCTTGCCACTTTGCACCTTGCGAAGTTCATCAAATATGTTTGTTCTCCAGTCATTGGTTCTGTAGAGTGAGAATAAAGACTCAACTTCATAAAGTTATTATGCAAATTAAGCTAGTTAATATAGGTTGAACAATTTTAAACTTTTTGCTCAGTTATTGGTGATAGTAAAAATTAGCCATTGAGCTTTGAAGGTTATACTGCATATAGTTTGCACTCAATTATTCAAATGTTTGTTATTTTTGCTTTTTAAGAAGACAATCATGTTGTCTTTGAAAGAGCAACAGTTCTGACTATTCTTTTTTGTTGCTGTTACATCTGCTACCTGGCTTGGTAGCTCCAGAACAATGTAGAACAGTAACAGTCACGACAGACTTTATTGTCCTGTTTCTGCCTTTAGTGGCACTGCTTCTAGTGTTTTGCCATTAAGTTTTATTTGCTTTTGACTTCTAAGTGAATGCTTCAGAGGAAGCTGCCTTTTATTTCAAAGTTTACTGGGTATTTTTATAACATAAGTGACTATGGAATTTTACTGTATGCTTTGAAAAAATGTCCTTTTCTTTCTAAGGTAATCGAGTTAACTTGGTACAAAATAAATGTGTGTGTGTACACACACGCGCGCACACACACACACACACACACACACACATATACTCCCCAGTAGCTTTATACATGCACATTTTATTTTCATTTATTGTTCTAATATTTATTTCGACAGCTTTGATTACCATCCTTGCTAATGATGATGGCCCTGGAGTACTGTCATTTAACAACAGTGAACACTTTTTCCTAAGAGAACCAACAGCTGTCCACATGCAGGAGAGTGTAGCGGTGCTGTATATTGTTCGGGAACCTGCACAAGGACTGTTTGGAACTGTGACAGTTCAGTTCATTGTGACAGAAGTAAATTCTTCGATGGAGTCAAAGGATCTGACTCCTTCCAAAGGCTATATTGTTTTAGAAGAAGGTGTTCGATTTAAGGTACCGTAGGACCCTTTACTGACATTGAATGATTATCTTTAATATTTAAAAATAATCGCCTCTTGGAGGAGCACCCTGGGTTCTAGATAGAAAAAATATGCCCAACTTAGTTGATAGGTAAAAGATGTGAAATTACTGTGTGAAATCACTATTATGCAATTTACTTGGTTAAAAGTCCAAGTAGAAAAAATGTGTTCTGTTAATTGGGGAAGGGAGTAGGTAAATGATAGTGAAAATTTGTGTTGCTATTTGAAGTTTAAACATTTTTAAATGGCATATTTAATTTTTTATGTCCAAGTTGTGAACTAGTATTTAACCCTAGCCAATCATTGATTACTTTTGCCACATTTTTGTGAAATACAACTGCTTGCTCCATCAGAACACTTATTTGAGAAGCAGGGTATTCTATGTGGATAGGAAGCTTATTCAGGGTAAAAAGCTGGATTTGGTATTAGTTATAAATGTTAGCTATACTCATAGAAATTTATGCTCTAAACCTCCATTTTCATATGCTAATTTTCTTGTTACTGAAAGTTAACAATTCAAGTTTGAAGTACTTTAGGAGTTTTTTTTTGACCTTCACATACTTTTTGCTTTTTGAAAAGGACTTGGTTTTTGTTTTCTTTTCTTATATATTTCTTATTATTTCCATTGTGGTTTATTTCCTAAAGGCTTTCAGTTTGCTTAAAGACCTTTCTATTCATTAGGTAAATTAACCGAGCAAATTAGATTAAATAAATTTTTCTTTTACCAAAATAACTGCCTTTACCCATGTATTTAATTTTAATATCTAATATTAAAACACAGAGACCTTAAAATGCATATCTTAGTTGCTTTAAATCTCTGTATATACATTAACATCTCCATGGATTAAGACAGTGAACTATTTATTTTTCCTCATTACTCCCTAGAGGAAACTACATTCTGATTTTTATTATTGAAGAATCATTTTGCTGGTTCTTGAGCTTCATAAATAGAATCATTCAGTACGTGCAGTTTTGTGTCTGATGTGTCTGACTTCTTTTTGCCCATAATTATTGAACTGTATGGTTGTACACTTAAGTAGTTGGTTCTTTTTACTACTGAGCAGCATCTCACTGAATAAAGGCTATTTGTTTATCCATTTTTTTTCTATTGAAAAACAAATGAATTGTTCCTAATTTGTGCAGTATGTCTATAACTGTCTAAGACTAATAACACTATACAGACCAGAATAAGACTAATACTGCAGCTGCTTAACTAAGGCTGGATAAAGAGTTAAAAAAATTTTTTTTATCTCAGTGTTATTTTTAAATGCCACATATTTTAGATGATTGCATGCTACATATCATATTGAAAAATCCTTAAAGTAGTAACTTGAAGCAGTTATATTATGGGGATTGGTATTAAAGTAACACAGAAGTGATATTTTCTAAGACATTCTGTTAAATTTTTTTATCAAATTTCTCTGTCCATGTTTTTCAGAACTACTCTATTCTAGTTAACTTGACCTTTTCATTTTGTTTTCAGGCCTTGCACATATCTGCCATATTGGACACAGAACCAGAGATGGATGAGCTTTTTGTTTGTTCCTTGTTTAATCCAACTGGGGGTGCTAGACTGGGGATACATGTCCAGACTCTGATAACCATTTTGCAAAACCAGGCCCCTCGGGGGCTATTCAGTATCTCTGCAGTTGCAAACAGGTATTGTTTCTTCATAAGGAGGTTATGATTTTTGAAGCTAAGCAGGAAATGTTTTTCGTATAAAGAAAATCACAAGGAAATTGATCTCGGTGCTTATCTTAAAGGGGATCTTTGATATGCACTCCAGCAGGTAGCTGCTGAGATGAGACCATATGCCATCTGTAAAGGGGAACGTCAAAAACCTAATTATGCCCCCCAAAAAGAGTAGCTAAAATTCTTATTTTCTCAGAGTTTATATGTTCAGGGTAAGGTCTGCAGCATTTTTAAAAATAAAAAGTGAGATATACCGTGGATTTTTATCTAGGTGAGTAGATAAAATGACTCTTAAAGTATATATAAATATGATGATAGCTTTAAGTCCCTGTTGAATCTAATCTTCATTATTTTATATCTTAGAAATATTCTAGTAGATGTAGTTTCATTAATATACTGAGAATTTCCTGACTCACCTTTTTCTCTGTGAAATGTTTTAGTTTATGTGAGAAGAAACTTAAAGATGAAGCTTTGTTTTTAAAAAATATGTGCTGAAGTTACTGAAGTCACTGATGCCCACTATTTTCTTGTGATCATAGTATCAATGTGCTACTTTGGTGCTTTTTCAAAAAATTTCCTAAGTGAATATTTTCGAACTTTAATTATACATCGCTTGTCTGTTTTCCACAATGGAGGATTTCTCCTCTCAGATGTGATCCCCCTAGTTTTCCACCATCAAAGCCCACAGTCTTCTACCACAGCCCACTGTTCTCTCTTCCACATTTTTAATTTTCACCTTCAGTCTAGACTTTCTGTTGCATAAGATTTGTGATCTCGTTTTTCTGTGAAACTTAAGAGTAGTAAATGAATGCTAGTAATGATATATATTTTAATATATAAAAGTTATGCTTTTTTCTGCTTTTCACACTCCATTTGTATTTTTTAGAGCCACCTCTATACACATCGAAGAAGCCAACAGAACTGTATATTTAAACGTGTCTCGTATTAATGGCATTGATTTAGCTGTGAGTGTGGAGTGGGAGACAATATCGGAAACAGCCTTTGGCATGAGTATGTTTAGTTTCTTATGAGAACAAAATTCTATAACCAAGAAAAGTGGCATGTATAAGATGTACATTTGCCCCCAATGAATCATAGTCTATGGCTCTGTTGAAAGTGGAAGACAGACCTCTGGTTCCTTTATTGTATTCACCACTATTGAGTGGTTTTCATATGTCAGGCATGATGCTGAACTCATGTAGCTTAGAATTTAAGGGGCAACAGAAATAAGAAAAATTAACATGTAGTTTAAGTGGTAGCAAATGTCTTAAAATGGGAAATCTGAGTGTTGTGAGAGCTTAAGGGAACGTTTCCCTGGATAGCAAAGTTTTAACTAACAACAAATGATGAATGAAGTTGATTACACAGAGCTGGATTAAACGAACAAGGGGGAGGAAGTAAGAAACTTAAGGCAGAGGTCTGGAGCCAATTAAAAATATACAAGTGAAAAAACTAAGTTGGACGTTGGACTTAGAAATAAAGGGGGGAGTATTGCATTAGGAGAGCTAGTCAAGGCTAGATCGTTCAAGAACTTGAACTTTATCACTTATGAGTGAAACCGTGTTTTCCTTTCTCTGATTTACTTCACTCATTTTTTAGGTAAAGGAACAAAATAAATGAATGAAAAACAAAACTCAAACTTTTAGACTATGAGGATAAAATGGTGGTGCCAGAAGTGAAGAGAGAAGAGAGGGTGGGAATATTTGGTAAAAGGGCTCACCTGTATGGTGCTGATTGGAAAGCAGACTTATGGTGGTGAACATAGTGTAAAATATATACCCATGTCAATGTGAAATGAGTTTACATAACAACAACAAACCAATATTACTTTCATAAAAAATTACATTTGGAAAAAAGAACTTGGAGAATGTGTTACAGATCTTATGGTCTTTATTAGTTTCATGGAAAGTTTTTAGGTTGCATAAGCTTAGGGGACGGTTATCCTGTGTGTCTGTGAGATGGTTTGATGCATTTGCACTGTAAAGATATCATTCTCAGTGCCATGTAAAGACTGGCAGGCACAGAAGAAGAGAACAAAGGGAGAAAACAAAGACAGTAGATAGGGGTAGATTGGAGGAGGTGGAAAATTGAATGTAAGGGAGAGAGGGAAGAGCTGCAAGAGAGGGAAGGCTGATAGAAGACAAGTGTTATTTTAATAAGGTGAGTGATAAAATGTTAGATGTCAAGGAACATATTTTAGGAAGATAAAACTGAGAATCTTTATCATACAAACAGCAATTCGGTGTCTTGGAAATTGATTTTGATGATCAGGCTGGAAATTGACTTTGAAACCTGGAAAGAGACTACAGATAAAGTGGACACAGACTAAGGTCTGAGAAAGTTCTAATTGAATGACAAATGATACAGTGATCAACTTAAAAATCCTGGTTAGAAAGCTAGGGGAATACGAGATTGCCAGAGCAATAGAGGAATGTTTTAAAAACCCATTGAAAAGTACCCATTGTAGTTACTAATGTAGAATACATACAATAGCAAGTGCTAATCTTACAGACGGATGGCCATTGAGTGGCATTTTGAAAGAGGTGAAGGAGTAGCTGCAACTAATTTAAAAGACACCTGACTAAAAGGTTGGGCCTGGTGAAGATGGCTGTTGTATTGTCAGATTCCTAGGGCTCTTGTTTGTTTAGTTTTGGGAGACTAAACATGTTGAAGCACTGTTGGAAAAGACCCCACAAAGAAATGAGACAGATTATGGTTTCTAATTCAGAGTTTCCTCATCATTGTTTGGCCTGTACATGGGTGTTTTTTTATCTTTTTTTTTAAAGACTTATTTATGCCTACAGAACTGGGGTACAGGCCAGAAATGCAGGAGCAGTGAGAGGCTTCACCAGAGATAGAGTGGGGAGCAGAATAGGCAAATCATCAAAGTACACTGCTGAGGGGAGCAGGTGTATCGGGAGGGCCTGTTCATCTTTTTTTGAAACATTATTTGGGAAATCATGTGCTGGAGGTTCTGCTATTCCATCAGCCGTCATCCATTCTTTTTCTACATCTTCTTGAGTTATAGTAAGGAAGAATTTTCCTATATGGTCAGAAACATTCAGAACCCTTAATACAAAAGGTTGGCATACCTTTAAAAGGAGGTAGGATAAGAATTTAAAAATCACATTTCTAGAGATGCATATTACAGTGGATATTGCTGTAGGCATTGACTTTATGTCTTCTTGAACCATTAATTTAAAAATGCTCAGTAATTTACAAGACTGGAGTCACTTGACATTGTTCTTCCTGCTTCATTTTTGCACCATCAGCTTTAGTTTAAAATTTATTTTCTTTGATAGCTTTGTTTTTGTCTTTGTTTACTTATAGCACTGTGTTTTAAGACATGTGAGTCTGTTTTGGAATGTTTGTAAAGATTTATTTTTATTTATGCATGCAAGAGCTGGGTAAGAGGCCATCTGAAGGGTGAGAGGATTCACCAGAGGCAGTGGGGAGCAAACAGGCAGATTTACAGAAATACACTGCCCAGGGGCGCAGTGGGAAAGAAGGGAGAGGTCTGCAGCACCTGGTGGGTTATCCTCCCGGCAGGGGATCAAACTCATGCTGTAATGGATTCTCATAGCTTGATAGTGCTGACTTTAATCCTTCTGCCACCAGGGACGCCCGTTTTGCATTCTTAAAAGAAGTGAAATTGGGACCCTCCCTGGTGGTGCAGTGGGTTAAAGCACAGCACTAAAAGGCTCGTTTTCATGAGTTCCATCCCCGCCTGCCCTGGAGGAGATCCACATGGCACCTCAGACCTCTCCTCACCCTCCGCATTTCTGGTCTGTACCCCAGTTCTGTATGAATAAATAAATAAATCTTAAAAAAAGTGAAATTGGATGGTTATAGTTTCAAATTAATAGTGCAAAATTTGAAACTGACATTTAACATGTTTCTATATGAGAAACCTGTTAAAATTTCTCAGTTGTACTTATAGCTTTATGAAAGTTGATAAGAAATCATACTTATTATTTTTCCCATTAAAATGTACATTTAGTATGTATAACATTTTTTTTTTGAAAGCTGGAAATAGTGCGGAGTACTAATAACTTTTCTCAATTTTTAAGTTGTTATGTTTAGCTATGATTTTTAAATTCTCACTTATTTCTCTTACACACATCATGGATAGATCTTTATTTCTACTAACCAACTCAGTAGTCTCACTGTTTAAACAATAAGCTTAAGTGTAGAAGGGATTATAAATCGATTAATCTTGCTTATGTTTTTCAGAGGGAATAGATGTTGTATTTTCCATATTTCAAAGTTTTATGGATACATCAGCTTCTGGTTGGTGTTTCTTTACTTTGGAAGATTCAACATATGGTGTTATGTTACGAAAAGTATCTTCTACTATTTACCGATGGCAAGGAATTTTTGTTCCACTTGAGGTAAACATTTATGCTACAATACATAAAGAAATGTGTATATGTACAAATATGTGTTAACTTCATCTTCTTTTCACTCAGGATTTAAATATAAAAAATCCTAAAACTTGTGAGGCCTTTAATATTGGTCCTTCTCCCTATCTTGTGATCACTCATGAAGAAAGAAATAAACAAAAATCTTCTGTTAACAGTGTATATACATTCACCTCTGGACTCAAATTATTACTGGTAAAGGAAACTTCACTTACTAATAGATTATTTTAAAAAATAGATTTGTAAGATCAATTTCAATGGCAGATAATGTGTGTTCTATGTTAATGTGCAAAAGGACTTTTTCAAGTTGATACACATTTTAGTAAGATGTCTTGACCCAGGAATATTTTTGTCTATCTGTAAATAGAACCTACGTATGCCTATCAAAGGATCAGAATGAGTTTTCAAGTTTTGAACTTCAAACACTAGCTTATATTTTATTATTGTAAGAATGTTATTTCTGTAATCAAAGCTTTTCTTGGATAAATTTGTTTTTCTTGGATAAATTTCCCCCAATTGCTCTGCCTTCCTTACAGGTACAAACGATCATTATTTCAGAAAGTTCGCAAGTAAAATATTTTACTTCAGATGGTCAATGTTACTTAATTGTTGCCAGTCAAAGAGATGATTCTGAATTAACTCAGGTTTGATTCTTTTAAATATATATTTTTCTTTCTAATATTATGAATAGAAACTCATCAAAGATGTGGTCTCTAGGTTTAGTTTGTATGAAAGAAAACCCTAATTTAATGGTGGTACAGCATGATGTAGAATTTGATTAGTCACAGTTGATTTTTAAACAGTGGAATTGTGAATATTGTCTTAAAGAATTGGTATACATGTGATATTAAACATGAACATTTAATTAGAAGATATTGCATTGGAAAACATGGAGAAAATCATATGGAATGGATATCTGAAAATTTATTACCAGTCAACATCAGTCCATTTCTGCAGTAAATTGTATCTTAGAATCCCAGTAATGTTTATTTAACATTTTTAAAAATTATTTTTCAGGCTTCTGTGACTGCTTCTCAAATACTCACTGCAAATAATAATTGTTGCAATGAAAGCTACCAAAAAGGATATTACTTATTTTCCCAAGACCAAATTCAGAAACCAGTTTTACTTTTTCCTTCTGTTACAAAAGGAGGAAGCATTTCATCTGTGAAAGCTGGTTCCTATGTCTTAACTCTCTTGCCTTCATAAACTGTAGATATTCTGTGTCCTGCATCACTAAGATCTTTCTATAATATTACAATTAGCATAAATGTGGGCTATTTGAGCTTAAAAAATTTCTAGCTCTCATCCTCCTCTGTTTCATTTTTCTCCTTGCTATAGTAAGAAATCTTAAAAGAACCTCTTCTTGCTTTGTCTTTATTTCCTCATGGTCACTGAAGACAACTGAAACATCAAAAGCCATTGACATCAGCTTGTGAGTCACCTCATTCTCAAATTTAAATCACTTCTTGATTTCTAGGAGAAATTTGATTGACTTCTAAGTCAAGATGGATCACAGGTTTTTCTTATATCTGTTATTCTCCTCAGTCTCAGTTGCTAGCTCCTCTTCCTTTTCCTGAACTTCATAATTAGATTTAGTTTTACTTGAGATTTCTTTTCTCTTCACTTACTTTGGGTACTTTTATCAAAACTCTGACTTGAAGTGTCAGCTATAGGTCGTCTTCCAAATTTATCCATTATCTTCTCTTTCTGTTCCAGTTTATATCTCTAACTGCCTTTTGGCATCACCACTGAAATCTAGCATCACCACTGAAATCTATTTTAAGTACAGAAATCCTGATTTTCATGAGGAAACTTTTTTCAGTTCTTGCTTTAATCTCATGAAATAATGGTATTGCCAATGCAGCTTCTCAGACAGGACACCAGGATATGTACTTCTTGACTACTTCTTTTTATTTACTCACATCTAATATGTTTTAAAAATTTATTTATTTATGCATATATTTATTTATGGTATAGGCCAGAGGTGCAAGGATGGGGAGTGAGAGGATTCACCAGAGAAACAATTGGGAGCAGAACAGGCAAATTGCTGAAGTACACTGCTGAGGGGAGCAAAGGGCGGGTCAGGAGAGGTCCACCACACTATGAGGGTCACCTCCGGGGTGAGGATTGAACTCCTGCTGCAGTGGCTATGGGCAGCTTCATAGTGCTGTGATTTAAGCCATTGAACCACCAGGGAGGGCCCACATATAAAAATTAATAGGTGTTTTTTGATTCTATCTTCTAATAATATTGAATACAGACATTTCTTTTCCATCTTTCTCCATGCCTAGTTGAGGTCGCTATCATTTCTCACCTGTATTACTAGAGTACACTTCTCTGACCTTTAATCCCTTCTCTGGGTAGTTGAGTAATCTTTTAAATATATTAGTTGGTTCATGTTGCTCCTTACTTAAAAACTAAAAGCTATCCAACAAGTTTCAATTCTATATCACTTAATATGGATGTATACCTATGTTAAGGACATAGGGTACCCTTATGTCCTTAATTGCCCAGCTCAGTACTGTTGTCCAGGTGTAATTATTAATACTGTCCTAGTACTTAATTATTGGTGTGCAAAGGATCCCCTGTAATAAATTACACAGTCACCCTAGTGAAAGATAACTTCATGATATTATCTCTTCAATCTTGCTTTTCTTCATTCTACCAGTGATGTCAATATTCTTCCAGTCAGACTAGTCTTCAGCTGACAAACTTTCTGCCATAGACACTTCTGTTCTAACTTGATTTTCTCTTATACCCATAATTCTCTATCACACTGTCCTCACAGAGGTCTTAATCCTCAGTGCTTGTTCAATTTAAAAATCATGATTTCATTTAATTACTGATGTATTTTTTATTTGCACTCCTACTAATTAAGATTAATGAAGGAGGAGCCTTTCTATCCAGATATTCTAGTGGAATATTAAGTTGACCAGTTGTTGACTGGATAAATATAGTTCCTGTAAGATTGAACATATTGTATAAGAAACTAGGTAAATTTTAATTTTAAATTCATGAACTCTGATGCTGAAACTTTGTATGCATTGCCACCTTCAGGACTGAAGATTTAGGCTTGCTTGATTTGTGAGTAATGTTACAACAATAGAAAATTTCTTATCCAGTTCTATATTTTTCATATTTGAATGAATTTCTTCCTGCTTTTGGTTTTCTCCATTACTTTCTGTCACTGTCCCCTTCCCAGATCCTTTGAACTGATTTATTTTCAAGCAGCTTCATTTGCTCATTCTAACTGTGTTTTTTTTCCTCTTTCTCTCTTGCACACATACACGAAAGAGAAGGCAGTGAGAACATCAGTTTTGTTGTTTCTCCATTTGTGAAAGTACTCTCTTTAAAAAAAGGGTCAAGAAAAATAAATGTCTTTGATTAAATTCTCACAAGTGGTAACTTCCAAATCATGAAGGTTTTGTATCTGAACATGTCTTGCAGGTCTTCAGATGGAATGGAGGCAGCTTTGTGCTGCATCAGACGCTCCCTGTGCGAGGCGTGCTGAGCATGGCCTTGTTCAGCAGAGCAGGGGCTGTGTTCCTCGCCATTTCCCAGGCGGATGCTGGGCCCAACTCGCTGTTACTCAGATGGTCTGGCAGTGAGTTTATCAGTTTTCAACAAGTGCCAACCAGTGGGACAACCCAAGTCGAGGCCTTTACTTCAGGAGATGATATTTACTTAATTTTTGCCAGAGCTATCTTTCTAGGTGAGAAGAATTAGTGTTTGTAATGTGTAAATAGTTTATACAACATGAATGCTGTATAATTTTAGTAAATTCTACGTAAGAATATTGTTAATACTTTAAGGTAATATAAGTAGAATATTTCTTCATAGCTGTCTATCAACTGTCACCGCGAATGGATATCAAAATAGAACATAATTTATTATAACCTTTAAGTGTTCTGAACTACTACTTTAAAGCTGTATTAAAGTTGGGGGTGGGTAGATAAAGTGGAAATATCTATGAAGACCTTATACCCAGAGCCCAAAAAGGTAACTTTTTATATGATTATCCACTGGGGTATCATTATTCATTTATAGTAGTAATAGTATTTTTAGTAACTTTTATAAGGCTGTTTCAGATTGCTGTTTGAAAATAAATATGCTTTGTGAAATCAGCATTCTTAAAATTAGAATATTTACCATTGTTCATTCTTTATCATGTGACAATGAGTTATTAACGATGTACACACCCATGTGGTAAATGCAAAAAGCTTTTTAAGTGTTCTTAGTAAGTTGTACATGTTTAAAAAAAAGAATGCTAACGATATAGTATAATTTTTTGTAATTTAATATTTTATCATAGTTCTACTGTGTAATTCTGTCATTTTCCCCATAACTTTTGCCTTCAGATATAACTTTTATTCCATTATTATAGGAGATCAAAATTCAACTGATATTTTCATCTGGGAGAGAGGACAGTCTTCTTTCAGATATTTTCAATCCTTGGGCTATACTGCTGTTAACAGGATTCGTTCCTTCACCCCAGCCTCAGGAATAGGTAAGGGAATTTTGACTGTTCAGCAATCCTAAAGACATCATGGGAAGTTATATTGATTGTTACATTATTGAATAAGACATTTATTCATTCATCATTGTGGCTTCTCATGTCTGCATCTCTAGTCAGCCTAAAGCACTAGTATTAGTATGGTAGTTTGTGGAAAATCCTACTGTGCACTCATGAAAGAGTGAAGTAGACACAGTATCTAGTATTATTATAAAAATAGTTTTTACCTCCAGGCTCCTTTAAAGGATCTTAAGGACTCCTGGAGATCCCTGAACTGTGAGCGTTATTGAGCAGAGATCCTTAAAGGCATTTCAGAGGCAAATGTTCAGAGGCATGTTTGACAGTCCCGCCTAACTCTGGTATATAGTATTGCTGGATGCTGAGGCTTGCAGTGGTCCAGGCTAGAGCTGATTTAGAAGTCTCTGAAGATGAGGAGTGCATGGAGCTGACATTAGCAGGAGATAAGTTGGATTTGGGAGACACTGTTTGGGCCTAGTTGAATTCCTGAAAGTTAAAATATGCAAAGTAAATGATATTCAGAAGGATAGAGGGTTTCGCACAGTTATAGGCTCTATTGTTAGAGTTTTCCCCTGGCAACAGACTGCTGCTTTCTCAGGCATTGTGGCCATTAGGCACTGTCCCCTTTTGTCACTTGGCTGAATAGGAGTCAGATTATTTATCTCATGATTTTTATAGATTGTTTCTCATTGCATGTTCCTTCCATGTGTACCCCTCCCTGTATCCATACATGTTCTCCCTTGGCATCTCCCCCTGGACACTTACATCCTTTTGATTGCCACACCAGATCCCTCTGTTGTCAAGTTTCTGTGTCTCATTGTTTTGCTTGTCTTGCCATTTACTTTTCTTTACATTGCCATCACTCTGGCAGACCAAAGATCTGTCATGTTATCCTATGTAGGAAATGCATCTTGAATAAGTTTCTCACTTAACAATTGGTTTGCTGGAAAAAAGTATGTGGATTTTCATCATGTATTTCCTTTTTGTCTACTTGTGCTTTAATTTTGTTCCTTTATCATTTTTGCTTCTCACCTCAAGTTTTTAGTGGACTGACTTTGAGTAACTCATTATGATTCAAAATAGTTGCCTAATGAATGTTTTTAAGGGTGATGAGTGCTGCCTGAATGGGCCATTAATTGAAGTTATAGAATTTCCTTTAAAGATTTTGAAAAAATAGAATAGGCACACTTTCTAAAATAATTTGTGAAAAATTCTGCCAGCAGCTTGTTAAGGGACCTATTGTGAGGTCTCTTTATTTCTTTTGTTTCTGTGACTTGAGGTTGGAAAAGTATGAAAAAATTATAGGTAATTATTTAGAATGCTTATTATAGATCCCCTGAAAGCTGAAATTATGCATTAAATAATATTCAAGGACTTTCTTATTTTGAATGTGTCAAATATTTTATTAAGAGTATTAGATTGGAGACCTGACTATGAGGATTACATCTTCTGGTAATAACTTGACAGAGATTATTGGGTGGTGACTGAATTCTTTTAATGGAAGAGGAAGAGTGATTTGACAAAGACTGCAGGACATATGAACTTATCTTCCCCTTGTCTCCATTATTTTACAGATATTTTTTAGAGCCAATTATATGCTAAGCAGATGGTAAACCTTGAGGAAACAAGGATAAGCAAAATCTGATATAATCTTTCCCCTGAAAAAGTTTGACATATTTTAGGGAAAAGACAATATAGAGATCATAGAACCACTTTTCTAACCACAAAGAGATAGATTACACTCATGAAAGAATGGAATAAAGCACTCTCATACCACAGAATGGAAAAGACTTGGCTGGGCCTAATGGATACCCAGAAAATTTCCTGTAGGAAGAGTCATTTAACTGCAAATAATAGGATGATGGGTAGCAGTTAATGTGCAGATCTGAGCTTGCGACAGGGTTCTTTTTATGAAGGGGTAATGAAGACTAGGACAAAGAGATAAAGGGAGAGGTTGAGGGAGAGACAGAGACTATAGCCTTGTGTGAGTATGTGTGTATGTATGTGTGTATGCATGCGTGTAAAGGAGAACTTTGACTGCAGCTTGGAAGACAGACCCGAGGACTTGAGCAGTGTATAGGAATTGCTGGTGATGAGGAGAGCTTGTATACACAAGCTTGGCTAGTTCACACTCCAGTTGGTTTTATGAAAAACAGGTTTTCAGTTAGTGCAGTCTGATGAATGGAGAGTTTGTCATGTGGTGATTGGTGGGAGTTATTGGGCTCACTATTGTGAATTTCAATTTCTTTGCAGTAGTGAAAGCTGTGGACATTCCAAAAGTACTTGGACATGCTGGGGGCCAGACCCTTAACTGGCTCCTGTTGGGGTTTGAACCCACATGGCTCTGTGTTGTTTTTTTTTTTTATATATATATATTACCTATCAATATCTTTATATTTCACTGAGTTTCCGTAGGTACTGGAGTTTGTATATGCTACACTCTGGCTTCTCCTTTTGTCCTCAGTTTAAGTCTGAAGATTATTTTGTGGCAAATACAATGTAGGAAGCCTCCTTTCCTTCCTAATTTCTATAGATACAAATATGAGCAGTAGCTTTGAACTATGAAGATTATGATTTCTTAATAACATGTCAAAATATACTCTAATAATTATAAATATGTCCATACCCTTGGTATGGTTAATGGTCGTTCAGAATTTATCAAGTGAAAGTTATTACAGAAGTTTGTCTCTAATTAATATTGAAATATTAATTGTAAAACAGCAATAATCACCAAATGTGGAGGGCTCAAGTATTTGAAGATCAACCCTATAGATTATTAAATTGCATTAAAATGATAAATTGAATGTAATGTAGCAACCTATAAAAGTATAATGCTGTAAAATAGTACTAACTTTTTAAATGAAGAGTTTTATTTTGGATTTAGCCTATAACTATGTCACTATGAATTCAAATGGATGGTAAATGGAAATGTTTTCACTTAAAAAATATCCTGTGCTGTCCAATTGATGAACGTTGAGATGAGAACAGTTCAATATCCATTTGGATTTTATACTAGTGACTTAATACTTTTATTAAGTGGATGTGGGTATGTTCTGAGTCGGACTCGATCACTCTACAGCATTTAAAAAATACAATTTCAGGCATTTTTGAACTTGAGTCACACTTAGTTACTTTAGATATCGAAAGCAGCTTTGGCTATCAGGAAGGTTTTACTCCGTGCCCAGGGAAGAGCATTTGAGATGCAATTAGGTTTTACTCCCTCTGCCTTTTCTCCCCACCCTGCAGTCCACATGCTTCTTACTGGCCAACATGTTTCTGCTCTTTACTGCTGGAATGCAAAGTTGAATCAATTCTCTTTTATTCTGGAAGCACCTTCTGCTCACGATGCAGTTGTTGTTGCCGTTAAATCCCGTAATTCAAGCAAGAATTTAATTGCTCTAGTGGGAGACGCCCATTCACACCTGTATGAGCTGAGCTACATCTCAAGCCAGTCCGACTTCATTCCTAGGTAGGGTTGATATTTCATGTTGAATGATTTCCTGCTGGCCATAATTTTCTATAGTGTTTAATTCTAAGTCTTTAGTAACTGAAAAAAGAGGTATTTATGAGCCAGATGTTTGCTAGTCATGTTTACATACTACGGAAGGAAGTATTTCTTGGTTAAAATGTTACTTATGAATTGTGATTTCTGCAAGTTTTAATATTCATAGTGAGAGGGTTTGAATAATCTGTGTATATGTCTTTTAATTTTTTTATAGTTGACTTTATTTTATGTATATATCTGATGCTAGTTCAGGTGAACTGATATTTGAACCTGGTGACACAGAAGCTGTAATAGCAATAAATATCCTTGATGATACAGTTCCAGAAGAGGAAGAATCTTTCAGAGTTCAGCTGAAAAATCCCAGGGGAGGAGCAGAGATTGGTGTGAACGGCTATGTAAATATAACTATTCTGTCTAATGATGATGCATATGGAGTTGTTGGATTTGCTCAGGTAATGAAACCAGAGATCCTGTACTTAGACCAGAATAACTTATTTATTGAATTTTTCTTATTCATTGTATCTGTTGTCAGTACTGACTCATCATACTTTCAGTATCTTAAACTTTTCTCCCTTTCCCAGCTTCACAACCTATTCTGTATTCTAAGGTGAATTCTACTTATGTTTGCAGTTTAGACTTATACAATAGACCTTCTACGTTAACTTTTCCTTAACCGTTTGTTTTTTGTTTGTTTGTTTGTTTTGTTTTTCAGTGCTGATCCTTTTATAGGGTTAAATTTGAGACATTACCATTTGGCGTTGGTCCAGACATTGGCACTTTTAACCCTGTTTCCAGAGAATAATGAGGCATTAGATTCTAAGTATATCACACATTGTGTTTTATGTCAGCATCAGTATAAATATGACTTTGTCTTATTGTGTCTTTGTTATTGTTTGGAGGGGGAGGAGAGAGAGAAAGAGCCAGAGATGTTTATAATCGTTATGTGCATTTTATGCATAGAGTTTCTCTCTCCTGAAGAGCTATGCCCATCTTCCTAGCTTTCTGTCTCAATTTTGTTAACAGATAGCAAAAGAAAATCCATTCACTCAGTATTATTTGCAAAATGTCTTGGAGTTACAGTTGTAGCTATGGTATATTTCTCTGAAATACCCTGTAAGAAGGAAAATATAACTCAAACTGATTTAAACACCAAGAAAATTTCTACAAAGGTGGGTTAATTCTTGCCAATAGATAACATCCTGGATTACTTCAACCCATTCCTTAAAACAGGCTCTTGCACTTGGTCTATCTTGTGGCAAAATGAGCTCCACTAGATGATGGCTTTTTTCAAATCCTCATTTTATGAAATTGTTAGAGGAGGGTAGATAGTCAGAGAGAAGGTTCTCTTTTAAAAAGTATTGTTTATGTGAACAAATTGTATGCATATTTTAAAAACAAGGTATTTTCTGCAGGAATGTTTGATTTCCTTGAGCAAGATTTTATTACTATATAACATTTATAATAGTGTGTTAAAATGCCATATAAAATATTGCTATAGAATGGGACATCAACTCAAGTTTAGTGTCTTCAACAGAAGCTTTCATAAGCATTAAGAAATTAAGGGGGGGGTGTCTCTTTTTAGGTTACTATAATAAAAAGACAAGAAAAATCTTACTGAGAAAATTAAAAAAAAAAAAACCTTTATACTCTGATTCTTGCTTCATTACTAGTGGAGAACCAGGTCTATTGTAAGAAGGAATCCTTTTGGTATTAATTTTGAGGGAAAGTTCACTAATTAGTTGGCAAAAGAGGTTTTAAGTGTTAGTTGGACAATGTTACCATCACACAGGGGTAGAAAGCAGTTTGGAACAAAAGAAAGAGACTAGGAACTATAGTGAGAAGGGAGTAAAGAATTCTAACACAAAAGATACAGCTATGTTTGGCAGTAGAATAGTGAAAAGAGCACTGGGTAAAGGATGAAACACCATCAGTGGAAGCCTGAAAGCCTGTAGAAACATTTCATAGGATGTAAATTTAAGGAAGAGAACGTTTGTAAATGATCAGAAATATCACCCTGATTCTTAGGATATCTTTATACTTGAATGGACCTTCGAAATCATGAAGACTAAATTTTATTTTACAAAAAACAAGCAAAGAGCTAGAGATTGTTAGGGTGTAGGCAGGGAAAGAAACTTTACCCAATTCTGTATGTTCTTTCTCTTGATATATGTTTACATTTTAGGTAATTACTTTACAAATACACATACTTTCCAAGTATAAAATATAATACATGCATTGAAGAATGTAGAAACAAGAAAATAAAATTAATGTTATAAAATTCACATTTAATTTACTTTAAATTGGTCTTTCACTTTTTCACATATGCTGTTTTAAAATGCAATGGTTATGTGATACAACAGGTTTTTAACTATTGCTTTTCAATTAATCTTTATATTGCTTAGTATACTTTGAAGTTTGTAAATGAATAATGCATTAAATAAGTCACTGCTGTCATTTGAGATAACTCCTGTGTCTTCTGTGCATTTTCCAGAATTCACTATATAAGCAAGTGGAAGAAATGGAACAAGACAGCCTCGTAACCTTGAATGTTGAACGCTTGAAAGGAACATATGGTCGTTTAACTGTAGCATGGGAAGCTGATGGAAGTGTTAGTGATATATTTCCTACCTCAGGAGTGGTATGTAATTTACAAAATTATAGGAGAGTCACTTTTAAATTATGGTTACTATTGATGCATGGGACCAAACCCTGCCTTGTGGATGAAGTGTTTGAGTTTGACCATATCAACACTGGATTCACACTAGCCATCATAGAGAGGGATACAATTTAAGGTTAGTTTTATTCTGATTATTGTCCTTTTTTCTATCAAACCAAAATTACCTGTAAAAATGTCATCCCTTTTTAAGGTTCAGTATGTCCTTTGGCCAAATTGTTGATGTACTATATTCTCAGAAGATAAAGCCAATCAAAATGGGAATGGAAACATGGCTTCAAGGTTTAGGTAGAATGGAAAAAGTAAATAGGAAGCAGATCTGTGCATTATAACCAGATGTATGAAAAAGTAGACCAGAGCTATTGCATGATGGTAATACCTGGTAAATAGGTTGAGATTCAGTGATGTGGGCAAAATCTGTTAAGGGAGATATACCTGTAAGAATGTGAGATATGCAAGTGTGTGCAGAGGGAGAAGATGATCTTGTTGCAGTTGCTCATAAGGTTGAGACTTTGTGGAATTTCAGAACTGAGCTGGCCCTTTGAGCTGTTTCCAGTTGGGGCAAGGGGACTTGTGTCCTTGACTTCAGGCCACCCTCTAAGTGGCACATAACTGGGTGTAAAGTAGTTTGCTGAAATTGAGGGGGAATTCCAGTGAGAAACACAGAAAAGATTTATTTATTTATGCACACATAACTGGGGAACAAGCCAGAGGTGCAGGGACAGTGAGAGGATTCACCAGAGACAGAGTGGGGAGCAGAACAGGCCCACTGAGGAAGTGCACTGCTGAGGGGAGCAGCCAGAGGGTCAGGAGAGGTCTGTCACACCATGTGGATCACCTCCCTGGCCTGGGATTAAACTCGTACTGAAGCTGGAATTGTCTCCAAAAAAAGACAAATCCATATTAGTCTCCATCATTTCTAGATTTCCATATCATTTGAAAGATGATTGGAACTTTAGTGTTTTATGAATATTATGACATTTTTATTATAGTGAATATGCAAACAACCAAAACTATAACTTGTATTTCTTAGGTTCAGCATATAATTATATATGGAATTATAATACCTTTTTACACATATATATGGTTAAATTATTTTTAAAATGCACAATGGTATCTTAATTGTATTTAGGTCTAGATTATATTTGGAAGAATTATTTTATTCAAGAGTCAGAAATTATGTTATTCAGGTGATGTCCAGCCAGTTAGTAAATGTTTTAGACTTTGTTAGCTACATGGTCATTTCTCAAGTGCTTGTTTGCCTTTATAGCACAATCAGTAATAGACAGTATGTAAATGAATAAACTTGACTGTGTTCAAATGAAACTTCATGTGCATAACATGGATTTGGCCAAGGGACAGTAATTTTATGACTTTCAGTATGTTAATAAAGCTCTTGAGTTTATCCTCAAATGGCTTTTCTATGTATAGAAATGAGTATGTGCAAAATTGGTCTGTGATGCTAGTTTGAATATTTTGCAGTTGTTGTAGGTGTATTGTTGAATAGGGTTTTGGGCGGGGAAATGGGACATGACATGTAACAAGCAAACATGAGTCCAGTTAAAGAGTTTCAGCTGTGTTCTAGCAAATTTGGATTTGACTCTTCAAATAATGAGACTCACAAGGAGGAGAGATAATTTCTGATTTTATTTCTACCTTTCTTTTTCTGTTTTTCCCTTGATTTGTCCATTGCTAGGTATATTGAGAGGTTAGTCAAAAGGAATTAGTGACCTCAGCAATCATTTGTAGGGAAAAAAGTTAAACTAGTATGTTACCTTCTTTAATCTTAGAGACATTTACAGATGGGATCCAGGACTTAGATTTCCAAACAGTTATGTACTCTGCATTTTAACAGAATAGAGAATTCAGGATGTGACAATTTGGCTACATGTTTTATTTGCTTCAATTTCAGTAATTACTTACTTTTGTTCTTAGCAGTCGTCCACTTTTAATATTAAATTTATTTGATTTGTAGAATCATTATGTTGTTTCAGTATCTTGTTATTTATAGGGTCAGTATCAAAAGAAACTGTAGACTTTTGGTATTTTTACAGCACAGCAGTACTTTCAAAATAAATAAACTCTTTTTTTTTTTTTAATTAAATAAACTCTTTTTAAAAAATTTTAGATTTCCTTTTCTGAAGGCCAGGCACTGTCCACAATCACTCTGACGGTCCTTGCTGATGATTCACCAGAGTTATCAGAGATGGTAATCGTGACACTCAACCACATCACCACAGAAGGGGTCGTGGACCCATCAAAAGGCGCTACCATTGATCAGGAGAGAAACAAGTCTGTGATAACCACTCTGCCCAATGACTCGCCCTATGGCTTGGTGGGCTGGCATGCTGAGTCTCTCTTCATTAGTGTAGCCGAGCCTGAAGGTAAATCTGGCTAAGCATTCTTTAGGGAGTAAGCGTTATTGGATAATTTAATTCTAATGTTTACTGGAATGAAAATTTTTCCTTTTAAATTTTAAAATTTGACAGGTCATATGCTATTGTTCGTTGTTACTAAGTTTTATGATCTTGTAGTAACTCAACATTATGTTGAGGAAATAAATACTTTTACCTTTTGAACATTAACATCATAATAGAAATGTTAATATTTTTGGTAAATCATTGAAATGAAAGTAACTGATGGTTAATTTTACATTCCCTTTTCCATTATTTTTGACCTGTTCAGATCTTCTTTCTATAGATTTTCAGTAGTTGCAAGGGACAATGAACAACATGGGAAACTGTATATGACATTCAAATTATTGCTGAACTTCTTTTCTGTGAAATGAAAATGATTAGTCTCTATCCCGTTTTTCCTTAAATAACTATTCATGTCAGCCATAGGACAGATATTTGTAGATAAAAATCACTTTGTTTGAACAAAAGATTTTACTATGCATTTAGAGTCTATTACATAAAAGCTCTAAAGTTTTAATTAAGAACATGGACATCATTCAAGTCCTTTCATTTATATAGTTGATGGGGGGGGAATGACATGTAGTTAGCTACCTGGGTCTTTTATATCCATATATTTGAAAACAGAAGCAATAGACCTAAAATGAACTATGCATTTGCTCATTCAATATTTTTTATGCACCAAGTCAGTGTGTCAGGATTGTGCTTTAATTGTGGAAAATTAAAGACCTGCATTTTCATAATTAGAAACTCACAGACTAGAGGGAAATATTGGGAAGCACTTTTTAAAATTCATGTGGCAAAATAAAATTTAAATATTTAAGCAATGAAATGAAAAGTAGGTGTTGTGAAATAGTATGAGTCTTGTATTAGGCACGTCTTTATAACGACAAAATCGCTCTTCTAATGAACAATTTGATGACATACGTTTAATTTTTCATTTTCAGTGACTCATCTTAGCATTTTACTTGGAAGCTCTGTTCAACCTGTACATATATTTACCTTAACTTTTCAGCAAGACCTGTTAAAATGCATGATATTTGCACCATAGTTGAGTGTGTTGGAAAACCAGAGTGAGGGTTTAGGACTAGTACAGAATCTCAGTGATTCTCAGCTCAACTTTGTGTACAGTGGAGCAAAGCATAGACTATTCCTTGGGAGTATATGTTGTCTTCATTTTACCTCTTAACTGTTCAAAAAACTGTGCAGAACATTTCCTAAATGCTTAGACTATCACCTCAGTGCTAGAACAGCATATGTTTACTTGAGACATATCCCTCTCACAGAGAACATCACCATCCTGCAGTTGCAAATTGTTCGAGACAAAGGATTAACTGGAGACATTGCTGTTCACGTGTTAGCTAAACCCAACCCCTTATTGCACGTCAATAACCGAGCAACTGAGAATGAAGATTATGTGCTGCAAGAAACAGTAATAGTAATGAAAGAAAACATAAAAGAAATGTATGCCAAAGTTGCCATTTTGCCGGTGAGTCCAGGCTACAATTACTAGGATGTAAAATAAAAATATGCTTTGAAAGATAAAAATGTGACACACTAAAATAAAAATCAAAGAATGTTTTTAAATGTAAAAATGTGAGCGCTATAATTTTTCCACTCATATTTAATAATGAATGTTTTATAATTAGTAAAAATAACTTTTGTATTTATTTAGAACTGGCATACTATTAGAATAAACTTTGAAGCATTGCATTTAATTTGATTATTATATGTCTGTGAATTTACTGTTTTGATGTTGGGTGGTTAGTTCTTTTAAATTATTGAAAATAAAATACCTGAATCAATTTGGTTATATTTATTGTGACTTGCTGTGACAATATCTTCATTTCATGATATTACTTGAATTAAGGCTAAAATTCAAATATTTAAATAATGGTTTTAATATTTCTCTTTATATGTAAAAAGAGAACCATATATATCTGTTGATTGACAAGAAACTGACAGTGGTAAATTGTTACTAAAACATTTAATAGTTAGGGGCTCTCCCTGGTGGTATAACGGTTTAAAGCGCTGCATTATGAAGTTCTCCGAAACCACTGCACGATTTTGATTCCCGGTCAGGGAGCTGACCCACATGGCAGTGGTAGACCTTTCCTGACCCACAGTTGCTTCCCTCAGCAGTGTATTTCAGTAGATCTGCTTGTTCAGTTCCCCATTCTGTCTCTGGTGAAGCCTCTCACCACACCTCTGGCCTGTACTCCAGTTCTGTAAGCACAAATAAATAAACCTTTAAAAAATATGTATATATATATATACACACACACACACACAATAGTTAGATGTTTTTATGTTAATATAATATCTAAATACTGTTATAAATCATATTATGAAATAGATAATACACTAATATCAGTGTTTTAATAGTGGTAATAGCCTTAGACAGTAAGGGCTTCTGGAGAGGATTTTCTGGGAAAAACATGTGGGGTAGGTAAGAATGGATGTTTTCCATACCTTTAAACTATGAATTCTTTTGGAATTTTTTATTACCCATTCAAAAATAATGTAACAATTTAAAAAATTAATGAAAATATAGGCTTTGGTTTACAAGATGAGGCTTATAAATCTTGAGTTTTCTCTTTTAGTATTTTATTTTTTAAAGGTATATTTATGTATACAGAACTGGGGTACAAGGCAGAAGTGCAGGAGTGGTGAGAGGATTCACCAGAGACAGAATGGGGAGCAGAACAGGCAGATCCATGAAGTACACTGCTGAGGGGAGCAGCAGACAAGACAGGAGAGGTCTGCTGTGCCATGTGGGTCACCTCCAGGCTTTGGGCTCGAACTCGCACTGAAGCGGTTGTGGCCAGCTTGCAGCACTGCACTTCAACCCATTGTGCCACCAGGGAGGGCCTTAGTATGTATTTTTTACCAGTTAACCAGTTTCTCCTAAATTCTGTGGGGGAGATAATACATGTAACACGTATCCAATGGGATATGTATGGTCAAAATGGTGGGATGGATTTTAAGAAAATGTTTTATGTGCTAGTGAGCGTGAAGTTTCTGAAACATGATCTATAAGCTTGAATATCTCCTAAGATAAAGAAGTTGGTGATAATATAGTAAAATATTAAATGTATTTGACTATAAAATTACTTTCTGTTTATATAACAAAGCTCCTATTCCCACAGACAGTTATTCCTTACTGAAAAAATTGCAAGTTTCCTTGCAAATTACATTTAAATGTTTCAATCTCCCTCCTTGCTCTCCCCCTACTCTCAGGATAATGCACCTGAGTTGGATGAAGGATTTATTGTCAACATCACTGAGGTTTACCTGGTGAACTCTGACTTCTCTGCAGGACAACCGGGAGTGCGGAGGCCTAGAAAGGAAGTAGTGGAAATAACAATTGAAGAAAATGATGATCCTCGAGGAATTTTTAAGTTTCATGTTACTAGAGTAAGATGTACTTTCTTTCATATATTAATAGTAACACAGAAGCTTATACTTGCTGATTCTGCCATTGTCAAATTTTCTGCAAAGTAATTGGCTTTGCTTGCAGATATTTACAATGGTCTAACCTGAAATTTATCTCTTATTAATTCTTAGTCCTCTTTGAGGTAGGCAGAGTATTATGTATAGTTTCACTAAATTTAAGTGTAAAATTTGTAAGATCTATTATGAATACATATAGGTGACTACTAACTTCTGCTTTAAGGATCAACTATAAGACATGTCAAAAGGACAGTAAATTCAGAGAGATGATATATAAGGTGATACTGTTGTCTTGGATTTCAATTTGTTTTCTTTTCCAAAAGGATTCTGGTGGTGTTGTTACTGCATATGAGGTGCCTCCACCCTTGACTGTAGTCCAGATTCCCGTTGTCCGACTGGCTGGAAGCTTTGGGGCAGTAAAGGTTTATTGGAAAACAGCACTGGACAGTGCTGGCCTCGAAGACTTCAGGCCATCCCATGGAGTTCTTGAATTTGCAGAGAGACAGGTATGCTAGCCATGAGTATATTAAGTAACACGTGGGCGTGTCCTTCAAGTATTTATAAACGTCTGCCAAGCAAATGTGCAATAGTGATTGCTGAATGGGTCACACTGTAAATGTCTCTGTCAAGCCAAGCTAAAATGTTATTAGTTAATACGTTTTAATTTATCAGTGGACATAAATAATGTAAAGAGGCAAGAATTTCATCCTTTTGTGAACTTCCCCACCTGATTCTATTTTAAATAGAAATTGTAAAAGCAGATAATAATTAGAAGTACCTGAAGATGTATAAAAACATTACCTCATGAATGAATCACATTATTCCTATGAATTTTTGGGTTTTTATTCTACTTATTTCTTAATGCTTGTATATGCAGGTATCTATTTTGTATCTACATATTTCTTACTTAGCACACAAAACTAATGCCATCATTAAAAAAAGACTAAAATGAGAGAAAATAAAAAGCTAGAAAAACACAAGAAAACACTAGTCTAGATTTGGACAAATCAATTTTAATTTTATAAAATATCCTCCAGGAGGTATAAATTTTGTAAAATGAACACGTAATAAAAATAAGATGTTTCTGAAAATACTCAGCTAAAAAAGGCATGCGAAGAACCATGAAAATGTCAGGAACTTCAAATACCAGTATCTATCCCCATGAAGGCTGATTTTTGCCTAGACAAATCTGCGTAGTGTGTGCTAACCTCTTAGTTATCCTTAGGGAGACAGTAATACAGTTTCAAGATAAGTATTTGTGATCTAGGTTTTGCTACACATAAAGGTCTATTAATATTTGAAATCATGAGTTTTTAACAAAATCAGAACTTTAAAGCATTTGCTATTAAAAGGGAGGGGTAACAAAATTTTTACATTTAAAGCAGGTAGAAAAACAATTTCAAATTCAAATGGCCTTCTCTCTGTAGTTACAGTATTTTATTTCTCTATGCTTTCCTTCCTCTCTTCTCCCTTAATTCTGTGTTTATGATTGAAGTGCCATAATTTAGCAGTGTCTTTAACATACTCATTATTTTTAAAATTAACATCCTATAGGGAAAGTATTCTGTATTCAACAGTGAAAATTTGAAGTTCAGACAATTTAATGAGTCTCCATTTTAGCTTTTGATTTTGTTCAGGGTTTTGCCTCTCGAGTGTGATGCTCAGATTTCTCACTTTCCTCTGTTGTTATTGGTTTTAGGTAGAAAAATTTTTTCTGGTAAGCAATCCCCGTAGCAAAGTATTGGGAGTTTTCTCTGAGCTACAGAAATTGATTTAATAGGAAATATATCTAGGATGTGCTTATACTATCTTTTATCACATATATAATTTACCTTAAAAATAATTGACTAAAATTCTGAATTAAAAACTCGAAGATTTCTCAAGTTGTATCTCTCCTTCCCCTTCTTCCTTCCTTTCTCAGGTTACTGCAGAAATAGAAATCATCATAATTGATGATGCTGAATTTGAACTCGTGGAAACATTCAATATTTCTTTGGACAAGGTGGTTGGAGGTGGCAGACTTGGCGATGACGTTGTTGTAACTGTTGTGATTCCACAAAATGATTCTCCATTTGGAGTATTTGGATTTGAAGAAAAGACTGTAAGTTTATTGTGCCCCACTAGGCTATTATACCCAGCAATTTTTAGTGGAAACACATCTTTTTTAAAAAAAGGTTTATTTATTTATGCATCCAGAACTGGGATACAAGCCAGAGGTGCAGGGGAGGTGAGAGGCTTCACCAGAGACAGAGTGGGGAGCAGAACAGGCAGATGGTCGAAGTACACTGCTGAGGGGAGCAGTGGGCGAATCTGGAGAGGTCTGCCACGCCATGTGGTCACCTCCGGGGCAGGCGGGGCTGGAATTTGGTGTGGAAGTGGTTTTTAACATCTTAGTGCTGTGCTTTAACCTGCTGCGCCACCAGGGAGGACCCGGAAACACATATTTTATTTAAAAAAAAATACTTGTTCTTAT